TTGGTGAAGTTACATAAGTAATAGCAATTTTTAGAAATAATAGAATATTGCAGAAGGCTTTAATTTTATAAAATATTTGAAAATTCCATCGATGTTAAATTTTAATAATATTTGAATTCAACTTTTAAATAATTTAATTTTTAATCGCATTATTTGAAAATAATTAAATTTTTTAAAGTAATTTTTTCGAACATATAGTAAAAGAATTATCAAATTTTTAAAGAATTTTGTAAGTAAAAATTTTGAAAATAATTGTTTTCTCAAGAATTTTAAAAATAATTCAAAAAATTATATTTTGTAAAATGCAATATTATTTTTTTTTTTGTAGATATTTGAATTTTTGGAAACATATCTAACTAGAAATATTGAAAATAATATTTGAATATTTAATTATTTAAAGAATTTAAATTTTTAAATTAAAATTCTTCAAAATTTTGTTTAAAGTCTCATTAGAAGAAATTAATTATCAAAAAGAAACAATAACAATTAAATGTATACTAATTTAAATTAGTGACTGACTTTTTGCTTTTGAATTAGTAAATTTTACTAATAAATTAGTAGAAATTTCAATTTTGTAAATTTTACTGATAAATTAGTAGAAATTTTTGCTTTTAAATTATTAAATTTTAGGTACTAATAAATATTAGTAAAATTTAATAATTCAAAAGCAAAAAGTCAGTCACTAATTTAAATTAGTAAACATTTTTACAAATTCAAATTTAGAAACTTGTTTCGCTATAACAATAGTCAATTAACCGTAACTATTGAAATTAAATAATTTTTTTTTCGTTCATAGAAAGTTTAAATTTAAAATGTTTTAAACTTAATGAATTTAATATATATCGTTTTAGCAATAAATTAACTTTTAATTAGACAACTGTAAATTGTCTGCCATAAACCGGTTTCCATCCGTTAATACAGACATAAAAAGAAAATAATAATTCTTTGAAAGAATAGACTCCTGCATGAGAGACGGACGTATCCTTCATTCTATATAACAGATACAGAATATTATTGTGTCTTTAAAAAAACAATTTCAAATTATCATTATGGAACAACAGTCTGTTTAAAAGGAATAATATGCGATTATCTAATATAAAATTGTCTTGAATGAGCGGAATGTATATAAAGGTAAACTGGATAATGCGCAATTATTTAAGAGACCGCACACGTTAAATGACTTAGAACGAATAAAATGCGATTATTATCTAACATCAATTTTATCTAGAATTTTGTCTAAAATGTTAAAAACACACCGGACAGAGGTAAAATTATTTTATAAAATTAAAAATTTTTTTTAAAAATTGTTATATTAACGAAACGATTTGCAGATGCAAATCGTTTAGTTAATATAACACTTTTTAAAAAAAATTTTTTAATTTTACAGAAAACGTTTTTTTTCAGAATACTTCACCTCGACAAAAGACTTAATCCTGAAAATAGTTCGAACTGAAATTTTTTTTATTCTAAATTTAACTTTGTTAAAAAATTATTGACCACTGCAAAAAAAAAAATTCATAGGTTTCAGAAGAATTTAATCGACTTCTTATCTCCGAATTTTATATTTTTTTAATATAAATTGAAAATAAAAAAAAAAATTTGTTGTCTGAAAATAACCATTTGTTTTCACAATTTCTAGACGTAGTTGTAGATAAATTCAGTACGTTTTCCCGCTTTTCAAGGTTCGATGACCACCCCGTCTTTGTAGGCTGAATATGCATTTCAAATCATGCAGGCTGTGTAACTTCAAGTTGTGGATTTAAGTGCCACCTGAAGTATGTTATTTTTCACGAAAAATAAACAAGACACTTAATTTTTTAAATAAACATTTTGTCTGATTATAGTAATTCGAATATTTAGAGAAAAGTTTCAAAAAAATCATTTTTATTATAATTAATTCTGTTGTAGAAGAATGGCGACAACAAAAATTATATTAAAACTGTAAAAAATAAATTTTTAAGAATTCATAAAAAAATTCTGAAATGTGTCTTTTTTGTTTGATTTATGAATTATGAAATTACCACGAATTCAAATAAAAAACCTAATTTTTATACGCAAACACTTAATTATTCTCATAAATAATAAAAATTTCACTGGAATTCAATTATTTACAAATTATTTTCATAAATAATAAAATTCTTTTTTGGAATTCAATTATTTTTATAAATAATAAAACTCATCGCAGACTTTTAATTACTTTTAATATAATTTTAATTTAATTCCTTGATAAATGTAATTATTTTCTTAATACTTTTTTAAATTCATCAAAGAAATTCAAGTATTTTAAAAACCTTTGCTACAATTTATTTATTAGAATTCAAATATTATTTTCAATACCTTTTTAATTAAATTTCTTCAAAGAATTAAATTATTTTCAAAAATTTTAATGAAATTTTTTGTAGCAATGCAAATTTTTTCAAAATAATTTTTATAAAATTCTTCGTAGAAATTTAATGAATTTCAAAACATTGTCGAAATTCAATTATTTTCATTATTTACTATTCTAATAAAATTTCACAAAAAAATTCAATTATTTAAAAAATAAATTTGAATAAAATTCGTCTCAAGAATTCCATTATGTTCAAAAACTTACAAAAATTCTCGTCAGAATTTTAATTATCTTTATAAATTATAAAAATCGTCTCAAGAATTCAATTATTTTCAAAAATTTTAATAAAATTCTACGCAAACTTTTAATTATTTTTATAAATAATAAAAATTTTACAGAAATTTAATTATGTTTTAAAAAAATAATAAAATTCTTTTTAGGAATTCAATTATTTTTATAAATAACAAAGTTGTAGAATTTCAATAATTTTTAATACAATTTAAATCAAATTCCTTGAAAATTGTAACTAATTTTAAAAAATTTTATTAAAATTCGTCAAAAAAATCCAAATATTTTAAAAGTTGCTAATAAAATTCTTTATAAGAATTCAACTTTAAGAAACATTCAATTATTCAATAAATAATTTTCTTTGTATTTAAATAATTGAATTCTCGTAGAATTTTCTAATAAAAATTGATTTAAAAATGAATTTTTTAGTTTGAATTTTAGATAATAATTGAAATGATGAAAATTTTGAATTAAATATTTAAAATATTTGAAAAAAGAAATTATTAAATTTTCAAATAATTTTACAATTAAAGATATTCGTAAATAAATTTAACAGAACACTTTTTTTTAAATAAAATTTTTTCCTTTATTATTTAAAAATTCAAAAATTTTCATTTTCATTTTCAATTAAATTTTCGAATTTACAAATATAATTTATAAACATTTTTTTCCTTTATTTTAAAAAAACTTTGAATTTTATTTTTAAAAAATTGAAATTCAGAAATAGAATTTTTGCAAATTATTTCCTTATGAAAATTGAGAATTTTCTACAAAAATATTAAGAAACGGGAATATCTAATGTTTTTCCTTCCAAAAGAAAAAAATCTGTTTGTAAACAATATTATTATTGAGAAATAAAAATTATGCAAAAATTGGTATATTTCCTACTTCTTAATCAAAATTTTTACCAATTAACAATTTTCTAGTATTTTTTATAAATAAAAAAGGAAATAATTTGCATAATAATTTAAATCAGTCAAATTCTATTTTTAACCAGTATATAGTAATAATTAATATACAGCACTAAATCTGAATGGAATATTTAATGTCATTGGGGTTGTGAGAATAGAATTCTCTTCAGTGTTTAATTAAAATCAAATTCTTCGTGTAATTTAATTTTAATCAAACTTAATAATTTTCTAATTTAATTATAATTAGTATAATGCGAATAATATTGTAGTTGCGGAAATTAAAAAAATAAAAAGTTTGATAATTATAACGAAGTTTGTATATACTTAGATACCTTACTGTATATCTATAGACGATTAGAAAGTATGATTCACAAGCGTGAGAAACAGCGAAAGCGCATACTTATTACCTATGTGTATATATAGTACACGATGCCATATATACATACAATATGACTATTAGCTAGCATCATTACAAAGTTGCGGTATTCAGTTCAGCGGTAGCTTGAGACTTATATCAGATTTAATTTATTTCTCCACTATTTATAATACATTTAAAATTATTTTTCATTTACTATAATTAATAGATTTCTCGATTTGACTATTAATAGTGAACTATTTTTCAAAATTAAAAATTTCCCAATATTCCAAAAGGGAATTATTACTAAAACTTTTTATAAATACTGTAAAAAAATACTATTCGCCTAAGCCCTTTTGATTTAGGAGTATACAATTTTTGAAAAAAATGTCCGCCATATTGGATCCGCCATTTTGAATTTTGAAAATCTGACTTCAGATTCGTAATCAGCGGCCCCGAAAACCTGCGAATAACGAGTTTCAGGCAAATTGAATCTATTTCTAAAAAAGTTGTCCGCCATATTGGATCCGCCATTTTGAATTTGGAAAATCCGACTCCAGATTCATAATCAGCGGCCCCAAAAACCCCCGAGTAACAAGTTTCAACCAAATTTGAGCAATTTTTGAAAAAAAATGTCCGCCATATTGGATCCGCCATTTTGAATTTTGATAATCTGACTTCAAATTCATAATCAGCGGCCCCGAAAACCCCTGAGTATTAAGTTTCAACAAAATCCGCTAGCGGACTTTCCTGGAGCACGAAAGGGATAATTAGGAAGCTTGGGATTTCTTCTACACTATCTGTTAAAAATGATTTCAACAATTTTTAAGATTTAAGAACTTTTTTAGTAGACAGTTGCAATCGAAAGGTACTATTTTCGAGACTATGGCAGTTTATGGACACTGTTTTAATTTTGTACTATTATTACCAAGATTTGTTTCAACATCGTAGAGAAAACATCGTAGAGAAAATGTTAGCAATATCTTTAGATGAATTGAATTCACATCCATTGTAAAACATAAAATTAGGAAACCCCTATTGTTTCATTTAAAGGAGAATTGTTTCCTAAATCTTTTTTTATGAAATACAATTATTAACATTTTAAAATTATTTTCAGAATCGACTGCAGAATTATTTCCCGCAACTATCGACTCCAACTCGATGCAATATTCCTGAGGAGTCAATAGAAATGACTGCAGAGTGTTTGGCAAATGATGTGATAAGGTATTTGTTAAAAGAAGATATTTATCTCATATCAAGGGGTCCAGTGTCACGAAGTATGCGTCACAATGTCTATCAAATGCTCAACAAACATAGTATACTTTTCACCAGTATGGTGAATCGCTTAAACGTCGTACCGGATACAGCATATGAGGCTTTCATGGGAGTTGCTGATGAATTATTCCTCAATGGTGGCATTACATGGGCAAGAATTGTCTGTCTCTATGCATTTATGGGACGTCTTGCACTTTGGGCGAGAGATAGAAGAATGCATGCTTTGAAGACAAAATTACCTTTATATATCTCGAGATACATTGGAGAAGATATAGTGTACTTCATTAAAGGTTATGGAGGCTGGGTAAGTCGATATTTTCTATTTTAAGGTTTGCGATACTTTGATGATTTAACTTCCTTATTCTGTAACTTGATCAGTTAGAGAGCGCAAGACCCTTGTGTTTAACCCTCTGGGCAAAAAACTATGTTTTAAATCGTTCTTGAAATGTTTGTAGTTTCATCCTTACAAGAGAGTCGACTTTGTTTTGTGTTTTTAATAATAAACTTTTAAGGGGGTCAACCCCATGTAGCAGACTTAGGACTTCAAAATTTTTACATATATTCAATTACAGGGTTGCCACGCAACCTGGAAACCTGGAAAACCTGCAAATGTCAGGGAATTCTATAAACCTTGAAAAAATTAATTAACCTAAAAAAGTCAGGGAATTTTGATCAGAATCCTGGAAAATTATTGTTTTCTAAAATTATTGTGCTTATTCTTGAAATCTAATTTTTCTTAAATATCTCAAAATTAATTAAATTTTAAAAGAGTTGCGATTACAATTTTTCGTCGCAATAATTCAATTTTCCAAAAGAATTCCATTAATATTGAAAAAAAATTTGAATAAAATTCTACGCAAACATTCAATTATTTTCATAAATAATGAAAATTTCCCAGGAATTTTATTTACAAATTTCTTCGCAATAATTCAATTATTTTCATAAATAATCAAAATTTTTACAGAGATTCAATTATTTTTATAAATAATAAAAAACTTTATAGGCTTTCAATTATTTTCATAAATAATAAAACTCATCGCGGAAATTTCAATTATTTTTAATACAAATTTTGATGAAATTTCTCGAAAAATGTAATTATTCTCCAAAATTCAATTATTATTTTCAAAAATTTTATAAAATTCTTTGCCAAAATTTCAATTATTTTCAAAAACTTTTCTCAATCAAATTTTGGAAAAGTTACGAAATTATTGCAGAAATTCAATTATTATCAAGAGTGATAATATTCTTTGCAAAAATTAAATATTGTTAAAAATAATAAAATTCTTCTTAGGAATTACAATTATTTTCACAAATTGTAAAACTCATCGCTGAATTTTCAATTATTTTTAAGACAATTTTAATCAAATTTCTCGAAAGATGTAATTATTCATAAAAATTTTATAAAAATTCGTCGAAAGAATTAAATTATTTAAAAATTTGTTGATAAAAATCTTTATGGGAATAAAAATTTATTTAAATGTGAATTTCAGTTCAAATTTTAGATAATAATTTAATATTAAACTCTCTAAATTTGAATTAGTAAAAATGTTTTCTAATTTGAATTAAAGACTGAATTTTTGTTTTTGAATTAGCAGATTTTACTAATAAATAGTCGTTTCTAATTGAATTTTGAAAAGGTTTTAAATTATAATCTTTGAATGTTTGAATTTTTCATACTTTTAACTGAAAATTGTGTAGATTTAATTTTTCTGAAAAAGTTTAATTGAATTTTTTTTCAGTTATTTGAAGTTTTTATTTTTTTAATATATATTTACGGAAGAATTTTCGAATAATCGATGTAATTTCGTAAAATTAAATTTTAAACAAAAGGATTTGAAGATTTTAAAAGAAATTTTTCAAAAATTATTAAAAATGAATGAATAATTAATTTAAAGAAGAATTTTAGTCAAATATTTTGGAAAACAATAATTAAATTGAAGTGATGAAAGTAATTTTGAATAAATTAGAGTAACAATATTTTTATAATATAAAATAATGATTTTATTAGTCGGTCACTTTTAATTATTTATAAAACATGAAGATATCGATTGCTCCGAGTCGAAAACTCGGAGTCATCGATTTCTTCATGTTTTATAACAATTTTTTATAAGTTGTTTACTTTCAAAAAGGTTTGGAATTTGAAACTTTTGAAAATCTTAATTTTTATGGAAAAATTATAATGACTAAATATTTATTTAAAAATGATAAATATAACAATGCGGAAATAATGCGGTCCGTCAAATATGGTTCCAAAACTTTTAAAAATAATGAATGTTCAAATAATGTTCTAAATCGCTATTTGTCGGATATGAAAGGTTATAAAAAATGTTTTTGGAACGAAAATGATTTTTTGTCCAGAGGGTTGCAACCTAGCCTTTTATAAAAAATATCCCAAGGCTAGAAACTTTATTTTTTGTCAAACAACTTAAAATTTGTTTTTAATATTTCTTTTATTCAACAGGAACAACTGTGCATTGAATATCCAGTAACAGAGGAAATGAGTGGAGCAATTTGGAGAAGTCTTCTGATGACGGGTGCAACTCTTGGATTGATCGCAACAATTTTAACTGTCACTTCCTGAAACGAAGTGGGAAAAATACTCATGCGATTTATCTGGAAAAAAATGTATTATCGCGTACTTATATCCTGTGATCATTACCTTTAAAGATATTTTCGAATTATGAAAAAAAAAATTATTTATTAATTTCTTATAACGTAAAAGTGTTGTGAAATATTTATAAATTCTCTTATTTTGATAGTTATTTTATTTGAGAATTTTTTAATTTTCTTTTTTCTTTTCCATATAAAAGAAGAGCAATACAAGTACAATAGAAGTGCAAATATTATGTTTCAATATTAAGAAAACTTGATGATAATAATCAGTATTTCATTTGTCAAAACAGAAATTTAATTTTTTACAGCCTCAAGTACAGTATTGTATTTAGATTTATAAAGAGCAGAGGCTTATTTTTTAGTTTTTTTTTTACTAAATTATTAGTGATTTTAAACATATAGAAATTAATGAGGAATTTAAGGTAATGTAACTTAAAGAAAAATAGTTAGTAACTAAAGATTTTAAAGACTGTTTTTTATTAGCAAAAATTTCTCAAAAATTAATTCACGGTCCATTTAGATATTTGAAAATTTATTCAACTTATATAGGTAGAAAAGCAAAATAATTTGTATTTATTTTTTTCTAATTTATTTTAGGTAGAAATATATAAAATAATTGAATGTGAAGCGAAAGCTTAATATAGGTAGAATCAATTTTTCCAATTTTATTTTATGAATAAGATTATGAAGCGAAGCAGTGTCTATTTTTACTATTGTAAAAAAAATTATACACGATTAATAAGAGTATAAAAGATGGTTAAGATAAATTTTTACGACAGATTATCCAAACATTATTGTGATGAGAAAAATTTTTTAAAGTCTTTTATAAATTTTGTATACTGATTGAATGAAAAAATAAATAAATACATAGTTCAAATTGATATTTTTGGCATTATCATTTTTTATCCTTTTTTTCAAATAGGGGCAAAATTCCTCAATTGTCCTAACTTAAAATCGAAAGTCTTCAAATCGGGCTGATTTTTGCACAAACTTTAATACTATGGGAGAGAACTTTACCCATAAAATATTAAGATATTTTATTAAAAATTGTAGGGGGGAGAGGGGGTTAAAGTTTTTGGTAACGTGTGGACAGTGGATTCTTTTAGCTAATATGGCTACAATACAGTAGAGTGGACAAAATTTTGACCTATATGTTTTCGAAAGGTTTTTTCCTCCTCCTTCGAATGGTGTAAAAATTTTTTTTTTTAATTAACAATTTAACTAATTTTTTTCAAAATTAAAAATATTTTTCACTTTTTTTTAAAAAACGGCATTTTTTTTTTCTCTTTTTTTTGCTTTAAAATAAAGCTTAATATGTGTACTTTCCATAACTGATTCTGAAAAAATGACGTTTTTTTTTGTTTTCGAATTATTAATTAATTAATTAATAAAAATCAGTAAAAAATTACTAAAAAATGAAATATTTTTTAAGCAAGTAAACTTTTCTGAATTATGAGATTATCATCGTAAAACTTACCTAATTCCGCATCCAACAAGTATAATTACACCTATTTTTACAAATAATTGTTAAATAAATAAATAATTGAAAATTTATTTATTAATTTTTTGAAATTGTTTATAAAAAATAGTTAAAAATAAACTTGTTGGGTGCGGAAGTTGGTAAGTTTTACGTTTGCAAGCGCAAAATTAAGAAAAGTTTATTTCTTTAAAAAATAATAATTTTTTAAAATAATTTTTATTAATTAATTAATAAATAATACGAAAAGAAAAATGTCATTTTTTCCTAATCGGGTATTAAAAGTACACATATTAAGCTTTGCTTGAAATAAGAATAAAAATAAAAAATGTCATTTTTCCAGAAATGAATAAATAAATAATCAATTATTTATTTATTTAACAATTATTTATAAAAAACAGTTTAGTTTATGCTTGCTGGATGCGGAATTTTGTAAGCTTTACGATGATAAGCTCATAATTAAGAAAAGTTTATTTGCTTGAAAAATATTTAATTTTTTAGTAATTTCTTACTATTATTAATTAGTTAATTAATTAATTAATTAATTATTCGAAACACAAAAGAAAACGGCACTTTTTCCTAATCGAGTATAGAAAGTACACATATTGAGCTTTATTTTAAAGCAAGAAAGAAGAAAAAAATGTCCTTTTTTCAAAAAATTAATAAATAGATTTTCAATTATTTATTTATTTAACAATTATTTGTAAAAATAGGTGTAATTATACTTGTTGGATGCGAAATTAGGTAAGCTTTACGATGGTAATCTCATAATTCAGAAAAGTTTACTTGCTTAAAAAATATTTCATTTTTTAGTAATTTTTTACTGATTTTTATTAATTAATTAATTAATAATTCGAAAACAAAAAAAAACGTCATTTTTTCAGAATCAGTTATGGAAAGTACACATATTAAGCTTTATTTTAAAGCAAAAAAAAGAGAAAAAAAAAATGCCGTTTTTTAAAAAAAAGTGAAAAATATTTTTAATTTTGAAAAAAATTAGTTAAATTGTTAATTAAAAAAAAAAATTTTTACACCATTCGAAGGAGGAGGAAAAAACCTTTCGAAAACATATAGGTCAAAATTTTGTCCACTCTACTGTATTTTAGCCATATTAGCTAAAAGAATCCACTGTCCACACGTTACCAAAAACTTTAACCCCCTCTCCCCCCTACAATTTTTAATAAAATATCTTAATATTTTATGGGTAAAGTTCTCTCCCATAGTATTAAAGTTTGTGCAAAAAACAGCCCGATTTGAAGACTTTCGATTTTAAGTTAGGACAATTGAGGAATTTTGCCCCAATATCATAAATAGTAAATAAAATTCTATTAGGCTGAAAGGTTAGACTCGAAAGAGATAAAAAATTGCGGAAATACAGCTGGTCCAAATACAATAATACTTATTCTAAGTTACAGATTTCGAAATTTTTTTATTAAAATTTTTGGAACATTACATTTTATATTTAAATATTATGTTTTGCAAAGTTTTCCATACTTTTAGCGTAGTTTGGCCCCAATTATTATTTACAAAAGTATTTATATTAATCATATGCATAATTGCATAAACTCAGTTAGCACTTAAATCTTTAATAAATTTTTAGTAAATTCTCGGTGTATATGTATCTGATTAGGAAAAATGCAAAAGAAACTAGTAAGGCCCCGGTATTTTCTGTGTCATGACGCTTGCGGTTATTATCAAAAATATTTCGTGGAGAATTATAGCGAGTGCCCCACGAAGACCCTGTAAGAATTTTGTTAGTAAACTAATTTTCTCCAACACCTACTCTGAAAGGAGTACTTTTCTTGTTAGATTAGTGTGACGAAAGTAGAACTTTTCTCAACTCCTCTGAAAAGAGTGGCGAAAGTAAATTTTAGCCTAACCAGTGTTCTTTTATTTTTCTCTACCAAAAACATACTAAACTTCAGCTTAACTTTTTTTTAAAAAAAAAAGTTAAGGAAATATCATTGGTAACCAAGGTACTCCGAAATATATACCTATACCTGCAATAGCAGCAGGAAGAAAACCCATCAAATTGCCGACGAAACTCTCTTCCAAATCTTGTCTAATTTTATCTAATTTCTTTCGAATGGGGAAAATCGCATTGTTTAGGTTGGAAATAGAATTTGATAAAAATTCTTTAAGTTTATGGGCTAGTTTATAGACTTCACCCTCTTTCACATCTGACAATTTATCTACAAATTCCATGAGTTTAATTTTTTCCAACAATTTACGACTGGTAATTTCTTTTTCAAAAGCAGGATTAGCTGATCGAAGAATTTTTACTTTTTTAATAATGTCTTTCTCATGAAATTTAGCATCAGATAATTTGTCACGAAGTGCATCTAATTTTTCAATGACATTTGTTAATTTCTTTTCTGATTCTTCATTAGTAGCCAATGCCATTACATCATCTACCTTATTTAGGAATATCTCAGTTACAATATTCTCGAATTTACTAAATTCTGATATTAAGGACAATTTATCCCTAAGATTATATAAGCTAAGCTTAGAAGAATCTGAAATACGAGGATGTAATTCCTTTAGAGTGTTTTTTGGTATACTTTTAGAATTTCTGATTGAGGCAAAAATATTCATATCAATGTTTTCCTTTAATCTACCAAGTGATAATGGCCTTTTGAAGAAAGCTATACGATAGTTATTAGCTATTAAAAACCGTACAAAGTCTTTTGAATTTGACGACATTTGCATGTCATTGCTTGACAGAAATTGATAGGTTAATTTTTCGTTTATAAAATGCATATCAATTGGAACATCATCAATATTTCGAACCTTTGTAAATACCACTGTAATGATTGAGAAATAGTTTTTCATTTTGTTTCCCAATAGAGTTTCAACAGCTTCTAAAACTGTTAGAAATGGTTTAATATTGTCATTAAGAATATCGTTTATGTCCACAACTAAAATTATTTTTAAAGATTTAACATTTTGAACCAGTTGATAAAGATAAAACGAATTGGTAATATCCTGTATGGCGCCTCTATTATCGTCAAATCCGGGTGCATCCCAAATAGCCAAATCGGGTAAATTCTCTGAAAACCATTTTGTGGGAGACGTAGTCTTTGAAGTTGGTCCACTGCTAACTTCGGGTCCTGATGATTCGGTTATCACTCTCAATGTTATCTGATGGGATCCAGGTTCTCTTACGGCTTCTAATGAATTACCTTTTAAGTAATTGATTAATGTACTCTTTCCAGATCTTGTGGCACCAATGCAAATAGCCACATGTTCATCATCCTCAACTTCTTTCATCATAAATTCTGCAGATTGATGCAGCGCTTTTTCTAGTATTTTTAACTCATCTTCACCGAGCGTTTCTATCGCGCCAGCAACGAGTGGAATTAGTAAACAAGCGAATACTATTTTCATCATGATTCATCAATCACTGTTCCCTAATGATCTTCTGTTACCTGAAAAAGCAAAAGAATTTAATTTTGAATATTTATTTTATTTTAGACAATACCTTATTTCCTCTATTCTATTCTTTACATAAAATCCAAAAGTTTTCTTTGACATTCAAGTTAGACGACACATTCTTACACACTTTTTGACTACTTAAAAACGAGCTGGCTCTTCTATCTCTGTCTCTTTCTACTCCTCAAACCCTAACCTCTGTCACTTTCTTCACCATTTACTAATTTGCCGGATGACACACTTTTACTCTAACTAGTGGGTCACTCTGCAACTTTGGGTTCTGACTTATCCTACTAATTAACGATCACGGCTCAGGAACAATTCCCACAGATCGAGTCGTTTCTTTGCTTAGGGTACCATCTAGGATTAAGAATCATCTTCACCGAGACATAATTATTTCGGTATATTTCTTATTGGGTAAGAGGGCCAGGTGACGTCTTGACTCTTCACCGACGCGATTTTCTCTTTGTAGAACAAGCGAAATCCGATGCTTTCAAAATAAGCAAAATTTGAGAAAGTTAATTAATTTTCAAGACAAATAAATAAACTAATTCAACTACAACAATTCCACAACAACAACACCTCTGAGACTCTCTTAATCGTCAGAGAGAATTCTGCCTGACCAACTTTGGTCAGCAAGATGCTGAAGTTCTGTGAAGTCCATAGAAGAATGTCAATATGACAATCATGGATGGACTCAGAAGTTTAAGATCGTTCATACAGTATGTCAAAGAGAAATACGCAGCAGCGACCAAAAAAGATGAAAAGTTCTACTAGGGTTTTAGCTTCAAACAAGCCTTGAGCTATAAACGAGGCTTGAGCCTTGAGCAAGCCTTAAGTTTAGTTTTGAGTCTTAGACGAGTTTTTAGCTTCAAATAAGCCTTGAGCTTTAAGTGAGCCTCGAGACTTTAGCGAGTCTTTAAAGTCTTAATTCAGTCTTAAGTCTTAAATGAGTTTAAAGCTTTAAACGAGCCTTGAGCTTCTAATAAGCCTTAACCCCTTGACTGTGGATGACGTGTATACACGTCATGGCCCAAACAAGAAAACATCTTAACGTATATTCGCAAAAATTCTTACTCGGGGGTTTTTGGGGTCGCTGATCACGATTCTGAAGTCATATTTTCAAAATACATAATTTTTCATCCAAAATGGCCGCTAAAAATTTTGAAAAGTTTCAAAAGTGGATAAATTCTTTTAAAAATTCTTACCATTTAAACTTTGAAAAACTAATGTCAGATTCGTAATCAGCGACCACAAAAACCCTCGAGTAACGAATTTTAAGCAAATCCAATGAATTTTTCAAAATCGTGTCCGCCATTTTGAATTTTAAAAAACTAATGTCAGATTCGTAATCATCGACCACGAAAACCTCCGAGTAACGAATTTCAAGCGAATCCAATGAATTTTTCAATATCGTGTCCACCATATTGGATCCGCCATTTTGAATTTTTGAAAACTAACACCGGAATCGTAATCAGCGACCCCAAGAACCCCTTAGTGTCATGAAAATTTATTCACAAGAAGGTCTTACACATTTTGGGACCATTTTGTTATATTTTAGCTGCACACTGAAGGGGTTAAGGGGGTACCCTCATTTATCGGGTCAAAAAATTGATTTTTTGGAAATAATTTTAATCGATCGACAAAAATGTCCTAAAAATGCTATTGTTTAATTAAAATTGTTTAAATAATTAAGGAAAATTATCGCAAAACATCAGTTTCGTTAAAAAAATTTAAATATGCAGTAAATTTATAAACAAAAATTTGTTTTAGGCATGTAACTGCAACTAAAGTGTAATTGTTTATATAATTTGTTTATAAAACTGTTTAAGTTATTTGCAAAATAGTATTTTCATTAGGAAAATCTCTAGGCTGTTTAGAAGAAACATTATTCGTAATAAATTTGATTCATTTCTGCTCAAAAATAATTATAATAACTTACTATAAGAAATTACACAATTATTTTTTTCATTCATTTTATAAAAATTATTTAAACTTCTGTTTTATTTTCAATTGAAAATTGTGATTGAACTTTATTCAACATTTTTTCCTTTATTTCTTTAAATATCTTAGATTTTGATAAATCAAAATTGCAGTGACGAAAGTAGAAATTATTCAAATTCTTTTCATTTATTTCTAAAAAAGAATTATAATTTCGTTAAAAATTGTGGTTAAAAAACGGAAATTACACACATATTTTTTCAAAAGAAATTAAAAATTTGGTAATCAAAAAGGTATTATTTGCAATTGAACATTATGAAAATTTTTACCCATATTTTATAAAAATATTTTTTTCGTGACCCAGAGGATAGAACCTTATATTCCTACGTTTTAGGGGTCGCTGAAACCGAATATGACCATGAAAATATTTTGTACTTGCTAGTTTTCCCGCTACCACCCCCTTTACACCCCCACACGTGAGTGAGGGGGTTGGCATTTCAGTTTTCAAAAAAAGTCGAGTAGGGTGTCTATTCTTATGTATTTTGGGTCGCTGAAACCGAAAAAAACCACTAAAAATAAATTCGTCCAACCCTTTACCCCCCAGAACGCCCTAAATACACCCTTAAAGGGAGTTAAAATTTCATTTTTCACGAAAAGTCGAATGCGGTGTCTTTTCCTATGTTTTTGGGGTCCCTGAAACCGAAAAAGACCACCAAACATAAATTAGTCCCTTCCTCCACTCCCTAAGTATCTCTAGAGAAAATGTTGAACTTTTTGGTTTCATGAAAAGTCGCCTATACTTTTCATAAAACCGAAAATTTTAATCCCCTTTATAGGGGGTAGTAAGAGAGGGATATGATGTGAAGGAGAGGACTAATTTATGTTTGGTGGTCTTTTACGGTTTCGGGGACTCAAAAAACATAGGAATATACACCGCATTTGACTTTTCGTGAAAAATGAAATTTTAACTCCCTTTAAGGGTGTATTTAGGGCGTTCTGGGAGGTAAAAGGATGGACGAATTTGTTTTTAGTGGTCTTTTTCGGTTTCAGCGACCCAAAATACATAAGAATAGACACCCTACTCGACTTTTTTTGAAAACTAAAATGCCAACCCCCTCACTCTCGTGTGGGGGTGTAAAGGGGGTGGTAGCGGAAAAACTGGCAAGTACAAAATTTTTTCATGGTCGTATTCGGTTTCAGTGACCCCTAAAACGTAGGAATATAAGGTTCTGTCCTCAGGGTCACGAAAAAAAATTTTTTTTGTGTGCCTGTGTAATTGTTTGAACAATAACTCTGAAATAAATTTATATTTTGCAAAATCAACTTTGGAGTCATATTTTGGTACGAAAATACTATAAAATTATTGATAATAAAAAACTGTATGTAAAATGAAATCTATGTCAACTGAATTTTATGTCAAATGAGAATTATGTTTTATGTACTTAGGACAACTCTCCCCTGAATAATTGTACCTATTTTTCACAAAGTCGCCAAAATAGGAGCACCCGCCTCAATTGATACACTTACCGTATATGAAGAAAATATTTTAAATGTTTAATAAAATTATTTTTATAGTAATTTTTTGAGAGGAATTCAACGGTCATAAAAAAATTGGTCAGAAAATATTTTGACCCTTTTCGAATTTTCATTTTTTCTAAAAAATTATAGATTTTGAAATCCATGCGTAATTTTGTAGAAAATATGTATTTGTATTCATAAGAAAATTGTTAAATGAAAAAATTAATATTTACAAAAGTTTTAGCATTTTTTCAACAACAAAGAAATAGTCTTCAGGTTAAGAATTTAAAAACATGATTATTATTAAATTTTATTGTACGAAAACTCATTTGTTTTTTTTCTAACTAATTTCAGAACATAACATTTTTCAAAAAAAAAAGTATTAAAAATTTATTCGATAAAACATTTTTTTTGAAGAAGTTAACGTTCAGAAATTCAACATTATGAAAATTTTTACCCTTATTTTATAAAAATATTTTATGTTTCTCAATATAGATAGAATAGATAGATTTTTATAAACTTATTTTGAAAAAAGCTAAAGAATATCGCTGTTGAAATTTCATGTGTTGTTTTAAGATCCAGCACCTAAATTGATAATTTTTTTATAATTAAATATTATTATATATGGGTCATTCCACGCCAAGTCGGAAATCATTTTGCTTTTGCATCTCAAATTTTTTTTCATATTTTTTTTCTTTCAGTACTCCTTGAAATGAGCTACCTTGATTTTTTCAAATTTTTTCATAAAGCGGTTCAGGAGACAAACGATGGAATCTATTTATTTTGAAATTTTTAATTTTTATATACACAGTGAAAACGGTAGGCCTAACTTGCCATTTGACCAAATCCCATCGTTTGCCCACAATCGGACAAGGCTTAAAACTTGTTAATTTAGTGCTAGTTTCTTACAGAAAATTTTGAAAAAAATTGATCGATACATACATTGTTAAAAATGAAATTTTATTTAAAAAATGTTTAAATCTTATCGTAAATTATTTAAAAAATTTTTTAAAATATTTTTATTAAAAACTACGTGTAAAAACAAAAATTTTCATTATAAAAACGTCCAATTTGATCAATTTTTGATAAGCATTTTAAAAAAAAAAAAAATTACGTAAAAAACGTCATTTTTCAAAAATCTGTATCTCCTGAACCGCTTTATGAAAAAATTTGAAAAAATCAAGGAAGCTCATTTCAAGGAGTATTAAAAGAAAAAAGATATTAAAAAAAAATTTGAGATGCAAAAGCAAAATGATTTCCGACTTGGCGTGGAATGCCCCATAATTATATGTACTTTTACAGCTCAATTAAAATTTCAAAGATTTCAATGTATAAATTATTTAAAATTTAATTATTTCTAAAAATCCTACTTTAACGCTTTTAATTATGTTTTAATTTTAGCTAAAAATTATTTTAAGATTCTTAAAAAAAAAATTTGAATTACAATTTTTCAAAAATCTATTCAAAAATCTAATTTTTTTAGAATTTAAACATTAAATTATTCAAAACTTCAATAATTTTTCTTAAACAAATATTTAAAAACTTATTGTTATTTCATATTGTTCACTTTTAGAGGTATAAGTTCGATTTTCCGCTAAGTCCGTTTCTCTTAATAATTATTTAAAAAAAAATTACTCTTATAAAATTATTTTTAAGAATTTTGTATATTATAAGGTAACTATAGTTTACACAAAATTTTGTTGTAATCTATAACTTTTTTAATTTTGAATTTTTGAAAAACAATACTTCTAATATAAGTGCAAAATATAAATTAAGTATTTAAATATAAATGTCAGTCAGTTTTTTACACTTTTAAAATTAATTTAATAATATATTGAAGTATTAAACTTTTCAAAGAAATCAAAAATTCATTAGGCGAAATAAAATGGTTTGATCCAATAATAAAATAAAATAAAGTTAGAATTATTATTATAAACTAACCTGTTTTTTAGAAATAAATTGAGAGTGATGATTACTGGGGGTCCATTTCATTTGCTGGTTCAAATTACAATAGTTGTACGATTAAGTCGCTTGTGCTTTTTATACCATATTTTTCTTGGAATTCTTATACCCGTGGCAGTGCTGCGAAAGAGCAAGATATTATCAAGATATTCTATTGAAATTAGCTTTATTTTCTTTCAGGTTATAAAAGTCGAAAAAATTTAAAAACTATTTCATCAACTTTAAAATGAATTTTTTAAAACTTTTTGTATTATAATTTTTAACCTAAATATGATATTTTGAGTTTAATAAAGTAACATTTCCTGAATTGTCGATAACTCAAAAGTGGTTATTGCTTCTTGAAAAAATAATTTTGGTTTTACTCATTTTTTTCATCTAAAATTTAAAAATCTAAATTATAAATATAATTATTATTACTAAACCCAGTAACGGAAAAGTATTATTAAGAGGAAACTGAAATAAATTTTTTTCTAAAAAGACCTTTAAATTTATTGTTATTTCTTTATAAACATTGAAAAAAAGTTTTTTTTTATAAAAATATTACTCCTTTATAATATAATATTTACATTCATCGCTTAAAGAAAAAAAATTAATACAAAATAATCAAAGAAACATTATTCACGATGGTCAGTAGAAAAAAATTGTGCATATTTGTTATAAACAATTTAGAAACTGAAAACTTGATTGTTAAAAAATTGTTATATTTTTTAGTTTAAAAGTTATGTTTATAAAACAAAAGAATATTTTATGATACCTTTAATTAAGATATTGAAAAAAATTATTTGTTAATTGTATGTCAAATTTTAATTTTTTTGCAAAACAATAATTAATTAACAAATAATTTTTTTCAATACCTTAATTAAAGGTGTCATAAAATATTCTTTTGTTTCATAAAAATACTTTTTGAACTAAAAAATTTTCTTTAGGCTGCGTCTACAACAGAAAAAATAATGTGTAGAAAATTGTGTAATATATAGTGTAATTGCCCCTGACAGTTGTCAATGCCAAAAACAATACACATTACACTACAAATTACACATTATTTTTTTCTATTGTAGACGCAGCCTTAAGCGATGAAAGCTATAATATTATAATTAGGTATATATAAAAGAGTACTATTTTTATGAAAAAAAGTTTTTTCAATGTTTATAAATAAATAAAAAAAATTAAAGCCTTGTTTTTAAAATCGGCCTCTAGGAATCTCTTAGGGATTTAATAACGAGTGTTTTTAAACAAAGAAGTCAATTTTTCGATTTTAAACGCTCGGTGCACGACACAACAAAAAATTCAAAATCTCCGGTTATAATTAAAAATACAAAAACTGTTTTCGAAATAATAAAGATAAGAGTACAAGGTATGTTAACATAAATTAAGTCTTTAAAAATAAATGTCAGTCAGTTTTTACAATTTTAAATGTAATTTAATACCAATAAAGTATTAAACTTTTTAATAAGATCAAACATTCATTAGGCGAAATAAAATGGTTTGATCCAATAATAAAAATAAAGTTAGAATTAATATTATAAACTAACCTGTTTTTTAGAAATAAATTGAGAGCGATGATTACTGTGGGTCTTTTTCATTTGCCGGTTCAACTTATAATAGTTGTATTCTCAGGGATGATGGCGCGTCGATCGACACAAATAGGGGAGACCGAAGTGAATTGTAACAAAGCCGATTTCTCGTAAGCTATGAATGTCAAAATTCGTGAAACTTTCACGAAAAATATAATAAAAAATGGGTTCATTCATTTAGGAAAAATAAATTTTGTTTAAAAAGTTACAAAAAAATTCATTTTGCAAAGTCTTTTATAAAAAAAATATTAAATGTTTATAATTAATAAACATTTAATTCTAAAATAATTTAAATTGGGGATTTAAAATTGCAATGCGACACATAGTGACCATAAAGTGAACTAAAAAAAATGTCTGCTGTGGGTGTACAAGTTTGCAAAAATTGTTAATATTTAAAGTATTCTAATGTTTAAGAAATATTTGTTAAGATTGTTGGTCATTATTTATCTTTTTATTGAAAAGCTACTTAAAATTAAAACCGAAAAGTCACAATATAAGTTTATATTTTTTTAAATTTGTACACCCATTTCGTCCATTTTTGGTGTAAAACACTAGCGACACCGAGCCCGCTCTTGCCATTAATAAAGCAGGAAGAACAATTTAATAAATTAACAACAGTTTTTTTTGCAAAAAACTCTGAAGAATATTCTGACTCACTCTGAAAATGATTATTCGAAAACATCAAAAATTTTATTTAAAATAAATATTTAATAATTATTATTTTTCCATAGAAATTAAGATTTTCAGAAAATTTTCAAAAAAAATTAAATTATTTACAAAAATTTTAATAAAATTCTTGGCAAGAATTCAATTATTTTTACAAGTAATAAAAATTTTATATGATTTTAATTATTTAATTTTTAAAAAATGTAATAAAATTCGTTGTGTACACAGAAAAAAAAATGTTTTCAATTTTAAACGATTCCTCTTCTTTTGCAGGATTTTTTCCTCTTATATGTGGGCACTAAATTTTTCTTTTCTAATTGAGAGGATTTTCCTCTTTTATAATTTCTATTAAATGTCACTTTTCAAACAGTTTGAAGCTGCGTTCAGAAAAACAAAAAACAACTCAAAAATCTTCTCTCTAGTAAAAATTTGTTTCAATTTGAGAAGAATAATTTCAATCAAAGAAGAAAGATTAAAATTCATCTTTTTGTTAAAAAAACTTTCAAATATAAACAAAAATTCATCTTTTTTGTAAATGAATATTTGTATATTAGAAAATAAAATGTAAAAAAAATTGTTGAGCGGAATTTTCTTCTCACTTTGAGATTTTATTTTTTTTTGTGTAAGAATTCAATTATTTTCATAGATAATAAAATTTCAATTATTTTTAATACTATTTTAAATAAATTCCTCGAAAAATGTAATTATTCTTAAATTTTTTTTGGAGGAATTCAATTACATTTCACAATTAATGAAATTCTTCGCTGAAATTCAAATATTTTCAAAATCTATTATTTTAATAAAATTTTTTTCTCAAAAGAATTCAATTATTTAAAAAAATGCAATAAAATTCATTGCAAGAATATTTAATTATTTTCCTAATGATATTCTTCACAGGATTTCAATTATTTTTAAAAAATGTTATCAAATCTCGTTGCAAGACTTCAATTATTTTCCAAAATAATAAAATTTTTCACATGATTTCAATTATTTTAAATATAATTTCAAATATAAATTTTTCGAAAAATGTAATTATTTTCATGAATTTTATTAAAATTCTTCAAAAGAAATTAATGTATCAATTATTTTTAATAATTTTTGCAAAAGTTTCTTGACAATTTTCAAATCCAAGTTGTAAACATACAATTCAATTTTCCAAAAATTTCGATTATTCGGAAATTCTTCAATTTATTAATTACTTATAAAATAAAAGCTGAAAATAATTTTTCAAAAAAATGCAATTAAACTTTTTCAAAAAAATTAAATTTTACAGAATTGTTAGTTAAAAGTGTGAAATATTTCCATTTTCAAAGAATTTAATTTGAAACCTTTACAAAATTCAATTATTTCCAAAAATTCTTGCTATAGTGCATTTCATTAATAATTTTATCGACGAATTTTCATAAAATTTTCAAAAATAATTCGAGGAATTCGATTAAAATTGAAATTCTACGGTGAATTTTATTATTTATGAAAATAATTGAATCTCTGTAAAAGAGTTTAATATTTATAAAAATAATAAAATAATTTGATCTTAGAATTTTATCAAAATTTATTTAAAATAATTGAATTCTTTTGAAAAATTTTATTAAATTATAAGATATTGAAAATCATTGAATTGAGAAACATTTTTGAAAATAATTGAAGTTTTGTTAATATAAAGAATTTTGTTAAAGTTTTTGAAAATAATTGAATTTCGGAGAAGAATTTTATTATTTATAAAGATAATTGATATTTTGAACAAGTTTTTTTTAATATAATTAAATTTCTGAAATCATTTGTAAGTTCTTCAAAATTCAATTTTTTTTGTTATTAACTAAAATTCTTCTATAAATCCAAGATTTTTAATAATTATTTAAATATAAAACAATTAAATTAAACATTGACTATGTACATAACCTATAAAAATCTTTCTTCTTTCCGAAAATATACTGTAAAATAATATAATTTCAATAATCAACAATCGAATGTAAAAGATTAATCTAAAACTTCCATCCTATAAAGAAATTCTATATTTTCAAAACTTTTTTTTTGCTGTTAATTAATTATTTATTGGTCTTATTTTTCTGTTTTCTTTACACAAAAACATTCACGATTAAATTAAGAATGAAAGGTTTCATTAATTTATAAAAACAACCTTGTTTTTTTTCATTTTTTTTTAAATTCCTTATTTAATTTATTTTTTTTCTGCAAAAAGGAAAAAAGAATAAGTCTCACTCTCATCAATATTTGCACTCAAATAAATAAGAAGTTCGACCATTATTGAACTGCGATTCAACTGAATAAAAGTTCCCGCCAATTTTTCTTTTTTTTTCATTTTGAAAATTGTAGAAAAAGAAAAGTAGCAAAAAAAAAAAAAAAAATTTAAAAAAAAGGATGAAACTTATATTTTGTTTAATCGCAAATTTATTTCAAATAGCTAGTATCTCTAGTTTTTTTAAATCTTATCGTCTATATTTACAGATGACAGTATGATAAATTATAATACACGTATTATCGCAACAAGTGTCCTTTAACAAATAAATGCTCTAATCTAATGTACTTGAGAACCTCTTTTTTTTATTTTTGCTTTACTTTTGTTGATTTTCATTCAAGAGTCGGGATAATTATTGGCTTTTCTCTTTTATTCTTAAAATTTACTCTCACTCTCATTCGCTCTTTTTCTTTCTTTCTTTCTTTTTTTTTGTTCTTGCTTTTTTTTAGACGAGATTCAAATATTACACAAAAAACATCCGTGTAATTATAATTTACAAACTTTTTATTACTCCATTTTCTTAGTCTTATTTCTATAGTCTAGAAGTAGAACTTAATTAGGTGGCGTGAAAAAAGATTTTTTTTTTGTTTTCATTCAAACAGACTTAAAGTACGATTTTCTCCTAAAATTATTGGAAAATAAAATTTTTGATAGGAAAAAATTCATAAAATTAAAATATACCCGAAATTTATGTTTAAAAAAATACAATTCATTTTTAATATCTCCGGTTTTATTGAGGAACATAAAAATAACTCTTGGATTTTTCATATTCCTCAATTTTTTTTTTAACAATTCACAGAAATTGATTAAAAAAATTTTCATTGGAAACGTTTCCAGATAGAAAATTTTTTTTGCTTTTGTTTCTTTAGAAGAAAATCGTAACTCTAAAAAATGAATTTATAGCAAATGATAAATAACGGAAAGAAAATTCTTTTTCGACTGTTTGCATTTTTTTTTTGTTTTTTTTCTTTACAGTTTCACTACCGATTTTTCGTGTATAAAATTCTTGGAACAATTACTATAATCTCTTTTATTATTTACAACAGACATTCAGGAAAAAAAATCTCTTACTCGTTCGCTCTCATTTTATAATATAGATATGCGAGACTTTTTACAGTTTTTTTTCATTTTCTGTTTTTTATCAAAGGCCAATCAATTTTAACTGGACACTTTTTTTAGCCTCATTTCTCTTCTCTTCCAAGGAGAATTTTTTTTTTACAAAAAAAATTTCAATTGGAAGAAAAAAGAATCAAAAAAAAATACAAGGATCCTTTTTTTCATGAATCGGAATGAGAACGGAATTTTCATTCCGATTGTAGTTGTTTGTTTTTTTAATAGTCTTCCTATTATATTAATATACACAGAAATACTGGCGCGACTATATTTTTTCCGAGTTCTTTTTTTTACATGATGAAAAAGTTCCTTTCTCTTTTTTTTCTTCGATTTTAGATGATTCATTAAAAACGAAGCTTAAGAATTTTCTCTCTCCATGCTTGAAATTTTCTTTTAGTAGACTTTTTTCTCTTACACAAGTGCAATTATATATTTATATACATCGATCGTGTATATTTTTTTCCCCCTAATTCGTATAGTCTCTTGTTTGAGCTCTCAAATTACGGATGGTTTGTCAATAAATAGTATAATAGACAAGTAAAAATGTCTTTTTCTAATTTGTTTTTCCCTTCTTATCCCAATAAATATTAAGTTTGATTTAATATTCACGGTGAATGTGAGATTTGACACTGTTTTTTTTTTCGTAAAATTCGTACTAACATTGACAAAGCCTTTTTTTTGTACTTGCGCAATTTATTTGGCAAGTTTGTAAAAAAAACTCCGTATTGATCCATATTTACAGTTTTTTTTTCTTGCAGCTATTTTTAAAACGAAAAAAAAAAGAAAAGTGTTATCCTTTTTTTTCATTCCTTTTTTTAAAACAGCTCTTTTACGACGGAAAAACGAAGTGTTTTTGTTTTTTATTTCTTTTTATCTCTTCTTGTCCTTAAAAAGCCGAGTGATAGTAATCATAAGTGGGCCAATAAGGCTGTAGCCAATCCTAGCTGGTGCGTTGCCTCTTTTTCGAGGGATGTTCTTCAGATGAATGTGTTGGAGTTGGCGTTGACGTTGCCGATGGATTTGGTATCATTGATCTATTAAACATGTACTTCATCTGTGGCATGAATTTCATGACACTTCGTACTTGAATAAGTGGTAGTTCTTCATTTAATGACGAGCACTTATTTGCCTTCATCAGCATCTCCATTTGTAATCTAAAACAGAAAAAATTATTTCTCTTTTTTAATTCAATAGCATACGAAGCTTAAAAATAATAATTTAATTACAAAAATTAACAGTCGAATTTAAAAGGTTTTTTTATTTCATTCTGGAATGAAACCTAAAATTTCACTGAATTTTAGATTTTCATCATTGAAATTTTTCTTATAGTAAAAAAAATTCAAGGTTGCCACAAAAAATTTAATTTTGTTTTTTCCTGATTTCCAGACAAAATTTTGACTTTTTTTCTGACTCTAAAGAATATTCTGATTCACACAAAAAAATAATTATAATAAAAAGTTTTATTACATTTGTTTACAAATTATTATTTTCTAGAATTTTTAATTAAAATTCTTTTTCAAATCAATTATTTTTTAAATATTTTTTGAAAAAGTTCTTTGAGAATTATCAAATCCACTTGTTCACAACTCAATTTTACAGAAATTTTGATTATTCAGAAATTCTTCAATTAAATATTTTTTAAGAAAATAAAAACTTGAAATAATTTAAAATTCGCAAAAATTCAATTTATTTTTACAAGTAATATTCACATGATTTCAATTATGAAAATAATGTAATAAAATTAGTATTCGTTGTGTAAGAATTCAAATATTTTCATAAATAATAAAATTTTTTATTGGATTTCAATTATTTTTAAATTTTAATACTATCTATTTTAATATAAAATGAATTCCTCGGAAAATGTAATTAATTTCAAAAATTTTTTGCAAGAATTCAATTACATTTTACAGATAATGAAATTCTTCGCTGAAATTCAAATATTTTCAAAATCTACTATTTTAATAAAATTTCTCAAAGGCATTCAATTATTTTTAAAAAAATGTAATAAAATATGTTTCAAGAATTCAATTATTATATTCATGAATAATTATATTCTTCACAGGATTCAAATCTATTTGTTTACAATTCAATTTTACGAAATTTCGATTATTCGAAAATTCTTCAATTAAACATTTTTTGAAAATAAAAACTTCAAATAATTTTTTTTAAAAATTCAATCAAACTTTATCAAAAAAAATTAATTCTACAGAATTGTTAGCTAAAGGAAGGAAAAATTCAAATTTTTAAAGATTTTAATTTGAAACGTTTTCAAATAAAAAAAAAAAACGTTTAAAATATAGAAAACAACTAAATTCTTTCGAAGAATAGAAACTATTAAAGGTTTTGAGAATAATAGAATTTTTTCAAAAAATTTCTTTATATTAATTTATTGAATAAAATCAATTTTTTAAATAATTGAACACCTTGATGCAAGAACCAGACATAGATCATTGAAATTAAATGGGCTGCGTCTGGTTCTTGCATCAAATGGGTTCAATTGTAATTAATAATTTTACTATTAAAATTATTAATTATCAATAAAAAATTAAACTCTTTTATTCAATTTTATTAGAGTTTCTGCAAATAATTAAATTTTTTTGAAGAATCAATTTCTTTAACTTTCTTTTGAAAATAATGTACTTTTTTGAAGAATTTTACTTGAAAATTAAATTTTAAAAATTAATTGATTAAATTAAAATTTAATTGAAAATTTTGAAGATAATTGAATTCCTGAGAAGAATTTTATTATCTATAAAAAATAATTAAATTCTTGCAATGAATTTTACCTACTTATGAAAATAATTGAATTGTTTCGAAGGATTTAATGAAATTTTAGAAAATAATTGGGTTCTTTCGGAAATTTTTATTAAAAGTTTTAAAAAATTGCATTTTTTTTGAAGAATTTACTAAAATTTTAGAAAATAATTCAATTTTTTTGAAAAATATTCAAAAATTAAAAAAATGATTAATTCTTTCATAAAATTCTATTAAAATTGTATTAAAAATAATTAAATTTTTGCCAAGAATATATAAAATCATAAATATATATACCTAATATTTATAAAAATAATTGAATTATTTCTAAAGATTTATTCAAATTTTATAGAAAATAATTGAATTTTTTTGAAAAATTTTATAACAAATTAAGAAAAAAACGAAATTCTTTAGTGAAATTTTATTGAAAATCATTTAATTTTTGCAAAGACTTTAATATTTAAAAAAATAAGTGAATTGTTTCGAAACGAAAGTATAAAAATATAAAAATTTTTTTTTAAATTATCAATCACATTATATTTCTTTAAAAATTCCTAAAATTTTGAATAATTTTTATTCAAAAATTCTAAAACATGAATTGAATTTTAAAAGAATTACAGTTACAATTTTTAGAAATAATTAAAATTCGAAAGGTTTTTTATTGAAATTATTTCAAATTTTATTTCCTGTGGAAAAATAAATAAGAATAAGTTTTTACATTTTTGCTTAAAAAAAAGTATTGAAGTTTTGAATAAATTAATTTAGAAATTCCGAAAAAATTTCTGTTTTGAAAATATGTAATTAAAATTTTTTTAAATAATTGTACTGCCGAAAATAATTTTAAAAAATTGATACAAATTGAAAATTTTTTCAAATTTCATTGAAATAAATTTAATATTTTAATGAACTTTATTTGTTTACTTTTAAAAATTATTTTGAAATAAAATCGTATTTTTGAAGAATTCTAATTAAAAATTTAGAAAATATTTAAATTTTAAAAAACTTTAGAATTTTGAAATCCATTTGTTTACAATTCAATTTTAAGAAATTTTGATTATTCGGAAATTCTTCAATTAAACATATATATTAGAAAATAATAACTTCAAATAATTTCAAAAAACAATTCAATTAAACTTTTTCAAAAAAAAATTAATTCCACAGAATTTTTAGTTAAAAATATGGAAAATTTCTATTTTTCAAAGATTTTAATTTAAAACTTTTTAAAAATTCAATTATTTCTAAAAATTTTGGCTATAATGCTTTTAATATTTAATTATTATCTAAAAATTGAACTAAAATTCATTTTTAAATTAATTTTTATTATGAAAAATTCTTTGAGAATTCAATTATTTAAATAGAAAAATAAATAAATTATTAAATAATTAAATGTTTCTTAAAAATTATTTTATTATTTATGAGAATAATTGAAACTCTGTAAAAAATTCAAAATAATTGAATATCTGCAAAGAATTTTATTATTTACGAAAAGAATTAAATTCTTTTAAAGAGCAAGTATTTAATTAAATTCTTTTCTCATAAAGAATTTCATTGAAATTTTTTAAGGTAATATAATTTTTCCGAAGAATTTTATTAAAATTCTTGAAAATAATGAAATTCCTGCGAATAATTTTATAACACTTATAATCAAAAGATTTTTTTCCAAATAATATGAATTTAATAAAAAATTCCAAGTCTAGTAAATAAATAAATTTTTGTTATAAAAAATATAAATTTTAGTCTTGTTCTTTTTTATTTTCTCGAAAATATATTGTTGTCCCAATATAATTTAGTGTGAAAAAATAAATTTTCTATAATAATTAAAATGCAAAAAAAAAAATAGAATAGAATAGAAAAAAGTGGGTTTATTTAAAAAAAAAAAATGAAGGTTAAAAATTAAAAAAAACAAAGATTTGAAAAAAGAATAAACGATAACTCACCTATTTCCTTGATACAAATCGATGCCGAGAACGTCAGTAAGAACTTGTCTACAACTATTGATATCACTGGCAGGGAAATACTGTTGGACAAAGTCAGGTAGAGTCATTAAAAGTTCTTGATAGACAAAAGGTTTCAAATTTATACAGGGAACTAATTTGTCTTCGACCAACGCCTTTTGCACTTGATACGGTGGTACTTGGCAATTCCCTGAAGTATGTGTTTCAGCAATGGGTATTAATGGTTTTCGTCCTCTCGAGTCCCTGCTGCAATTTGAAAAAAAGAAACCAGTTAATTGTTGTCGCCATTGGCCGACATTGAATCGACTAAAGCATTTTTTTATTAATTTGCATCTAAAATGTAATCCTACTTAATAAAATTAATATGCTGCAGTGTGCCATTATCAAAAATAAATTAAAACAAAAAAAAAAAACTAAAAAAAAAACAAAAAAACCAAAAAAAAACCAAAAAAAAACTAAAAAAAAAAATTTTTTTAAATATTTTTCAAAAATAAACTAACGCATAGTGTTACTTTTCATTTTTTTCTTTAATTTGCCAATATCTAAAATATCTCTCGAAAAATTACACCAAACTTAAGGAATAATCGGATGAAGGACGGAATGGTCAGAAACAGAAATTAACAAGGCGCATAAAAGATCGTTTTTAAAAATTTTCGGTCAATAGAATTTTATTTTTTATTTTATTTTAAACTTCAGTTTTTGCAGAATTTTTGTTTACGTCGAATTAATTAAAAAAAAATGGCAAGTAATTCAATTTTTACTTGACTGAACTTTCAACTAAGAAGAGATTTTTAATTTATTGCTCTTATTATTTTGGAAAATTTTAATTTAAACGAGTTTTTACTTCAGAGGGATTTTTAATTAACAAAAATTGTTAAAAAAGACGAATTTTAAAATTTCATTATTTCAAAATGGCTAATTTTCCATTTCGTTAATTAAGTATTTTTCTAAATGAAAATTTATTTTAAAGATTTTTAAAAATGTTTAATCAAAATTTTTATTACAAATACCATGAATTTTACTAAAATTCGAAGTAAAGCTCAGAAAAAAATTAGTAAAAATAATTTCGGACTTGGAAAAATTACCTTCAAAAATAGTAAAATTTAATATTAAAAATTATTTTCAGTATAACTTTTACTATTTTCAAAGCCAATTTTTTTTTTTTAATTAGAAAAATTTACCTCAAAATTATAATAAAATTTACACTGAAAATAAGAATTTTTAATAGCTAATTGTAATGTTCGAGGAATCTTTGAATAATTTTGCTATTAAAAATCGTTATTTCCAGAGTAAATTTTTTAATATCCATAAGTAAATTTTATTAATAATTAGTTAAATATACTGGAAATAATACAATTTGTCAAAAATTCAAAAAAATTTGGATTTTTCTTAGGGGTAAACGAAAAGCGTCAAGTTTCTCAAAAAACTTCTGAGATTTCTACCATATATAATATATAACTCCAAAACTTGCATAAAGAAAGATTTTCTAAAAATTTCAAAAACATTTTAATAAAAATTGCCAATTTCAAGTGCGCAAGACAGAAGAATACCTTGACCCCCAGAAGCAGCAATCTAAAGCAAAATTTCTACCCGAAACCTAACTGTACGGTATATAAAAATCATTTTTTTCTGCATAAATGTTGTAATAGTCAATATCACAAAACGCATGGGGTTAACTATTAGAATTTTGTTAAAATTCAGTTAAAATTTCACATTTACCCCTAAGATTTGGGGTAAATATAAAGAAGCACTGTTTTTAAGAAAGATATGAGAGTAAAGGGTAGAAAAATTACAATTTTTTTTAATTTTGAAAATTTTTCTTTTATGTATTTTTATGCGCTGAATAAGATTCTAAAACCAAAAATTTACTAGCACGTTCAGATTTTGAAAAAAGTAGAAATAAAGACCATAAAAAAGTGTTTTTGGATTATTCTAGTATTTTTTCTCCTCAACCTGATATGCTAGAGACTTTTAGTTAGATTTAGGTTTGGTTGTTGGCCTGGGCCCCCAGGGGTCAAACAGCCATGACGTTAATAGCCATGCATTTAATACCAATGACATTAACAGCCATGACGTTAATAGCCATGACGTTAACACCCATGAATTTAATATACATGACGTTAATAGACATTAACGGTCATGACGTTAATACACATGAATTTAATATCCATGACGTTAATAGCCATGACGTTAATACCCATTAATTTAATATACATGACGTAAATACCCATGACGTTAATACCCATGACGTTAATACCCATGACGTTAATACCCATGAATTTAAAATACATGACGTTAATAGACATTAACGGCCATGACGCTAATACACATAAATTTAATATCCATGTAATACCCACGACGTTAACAGCCATGACGTTAATACCTATGAATTTAATATACATGACGTTAATACTCATGACGTTAATAGACATCAACGGCCATGACGTTAATACACATGAATTTAATATCCATGACGTTAATAGCCATGACGTTAATACCCATTAATTTAATATACATGACGTAAATACCCATGACGTTAATACTCATGAGGTTAACAGCCATGACGTTAATACCCATGAATTTAATATACATGACGTTAATACTCATGACGTTAATAGACATTAGCGGCCATGACGCTAATACACATGAATTTAATATCCATGACGTTAATACCCATGAATTTAATACCCATGACGTTAATAGCCATGAATTTAAACCCATGACGTTAATACCCATGAATTTAATATACATGATGTTAATAGAAATGACATCAATACCCATGACATTAACAGTTATGACGTCAATACCCATGAATTTAAACCCATGACGTTAATACCCATGAATTTAAAATCCATGACGTTAAGAGCCATGACGTTAATACCCATTAATTTAATATACATGACGTAAATACCCATGACGTTAATACCCATGAGGTTAACAGCCATGACGTTAATACCCATGAATTTAATATACATGACGTTAATACTCATGACGTTAATAGACATTATCGGCCATGACACTAATACACATGAATTTAATATCCATGACGTTAATACCCATTAATTTAATATACATGACGTTAATACCCATGAATTTAATACCCATGACGTTAATAGCCATGAATTTAAACCCATGACGTTAATACCCATGAATTTAATATACACGATGTTAATAGAAATGACATCAATACCCATGACATTAACAGTTATGACGTCAATACCCATGAATTTAAACCCATGACGTTAATACCCATGAATTTAATATCCATGACGTTAATAGCTATTATGTTAACAGCCATGACGCTAATACACATCAATTTAATATCTATGACGATAATAGTCATGACCTTGACAGCCATTAATTTAGTACCCATGACGTTAATAGCCATGGCATTAATAACCATGAATTTAACAGCCATGACGGTAATACCCATAACGTTATTAGCCATGACTTTAATATCCATGAATTTAATATCCATGACGTTAATACCCATGATGTTAATAGCCATGACTTTAATATCCATGACGTTAATAGCCAGGACGTTATTCAAATAACTTTTTTTCTATTTTTAATTTTTTGTGCACTCTGCAATCCACAGTGGGCCAGGATCGTCGAATTTTGGCCAAAAATACAATTTTTCAACTTTCAAATATGCACAAAAGAATTTATCCACAGTATTTAATAGTAAATAAGGAATTTATTGCATAAAGGATTTGTTAAATAATAAAAAATTGTGTCTTCTAGAACTATTTAAAGTTTAACATTTAAGATAAAATAATGAAATGTTTTTGATTGAAATACTTAATATATCTAGAAATAAATTAATTATTTTTGTATAAGTACTTATTTTTTCTCATCAACAGATATATTGAAGTAAAAATACCTAAATTTACTTTAAAAAAATAAAATTTATTAAAATGTAGCTCCATTGAAGTTAACAAATAGTGGATTTTTCAATCGAGTGCCGACTTTCAGTTAGTCGAGCTCCTCCGAGCCGCATAATATTTGGGAAAAAAAGTTATAGAACGATTACTTAGCATGTCTACTTTGACGCCAATATGTGCCATTTTGCGCCTTTTCATATTTTTTCAAAATAACAACTATATTGCAATAAACATATAAATATATGCAATAAATATATAAAGACAATTTTCGAAATTAATCAATTATAGTGAACAGTGGTATTTAACGGTTTTTTGTGCCGCTGATTACGAATCTGATGTCAGATTTCAAAAATTCAAAATGGCGGATCCAATATGGCGGACATAAAAATTTTAAAATCCATAAATTTGAATTAAACATAGGTATCTATGGGTTCTTTGGGTCGCTGATTACGAATCTGAAGTCAGATTTCAAAAATTCAAAATGGCGGATCCAATATGGCGGACATAAAAATTTTAAAATCAATAAATTTGAATTAAACATAGGTATCTATGGGTTTTTTGGGTCGCTGATTACGAATCTGATGTCAGATTTCAAAAAATCAAAATGGCGGTCATAAAAAATTTTAAATTAATCAATTTCAATGAAACATAGTAAGGCACTCATAATACGGTAAAAATAAACGTTGGCCCATACTGACGTTGCGTCTGTATATTTGATATAATACGGTAAAGCGACATTACTGATAGCACATCAAAGGCAGGTAAGTTCTAAAGCAACATTTCTGGATAATATTTTCATTAAATTTTTTGTCAGGTAAGTGATCTTTCTTTTTACATTTTATTATGTTTTTTGAATGAAATTCAAATAACATGACGACATTTACAAAACGTGAAATTTTAAAAAACATTACAGACGGTGATAAAGATTCTGCTGTGCACTATATTTTAAATAAATTAAATATTGACATAGAAACTCTTGAATCTGATGATCTTAATACCTTAAGAAGATCTGTTACAACATTGTTAAGTAGGAAAAAAGATAAACTTGCTGCTGCAAATAGAAAAACTGAAAGATTCGAAAAACAAAGCAAGGAGTGGCTAGATTCTACATTTGTTGTTCCTAATTTAAGGGAAAAATGTCAAACATTCTCTAGAAAACGTGGGCGTCCAACTGTTGATTACTCTGATATGTCGAATCGATCTAAACGACGAGAGATTGCGAATATAAGTAATTATCTCAAAAATGACCCATTTAAGATTCTACAGGCAGGATGTTATGCTGCAAAGAAAAATAAAATGCTTGATTTAAAAGGAATTCTCAATAAGATTGTATCGAATCACGAAAATATTGCTGACATGAAGCAATCCTTGCAGGCTTGTAAGATTAGAGTTAAGTCTGCAGAAGAAGCTCTTTCTTTTCTTTTAGATAATAATCTTTCGAAGGAAGTGTATACAAATCTACGTTTAGCGACAAAATCAAGCGGTGCTGACATATGGCCACCTTACAATGTTGTAAGAGAAGCTAAAATCAATTGCAGACCACCAGAAGAATACATTCATGTTAGTGAAAATGAAGTTCACTGTGATCTTCAAGCACTTTTGCATCATACTGCTTCTAGAATTGTCAACATGCAAAAAGAAGTAATAATCCAAAGTGCACGAAATGTTAAAAGCACTAATATTAATGCTGTATTTATTTTTAGTTGGGGGTTTGATGGAAGTACGGGATTTTCATCTTACAAACAACGGTTCTCTAATTCCAATGAAGAAAATGGTTCAAACATTAGTGATTCGAGCTTATTTGCTACAACGTGCATCCCACTAAGATTAATTACATCGACTGGAATAATATTGTGGAATAATTCAACAACTCAATCTGTCAGGTTTTGTCGACCTATTTCTCTTAAGTGGCTTAAAGAAACAAAAGAAACCACTCTGGCACAAAAAAAATTCATAGACGATCAATTTGAAGAACTAGAATCATTTGAAATTAAAGTAGAAGATTGTTGCCTTCAGGTTCATTTCTCCTTGCATTTAACTCTAATCGACGGTAAAGTTTTAAATGCAATCACTGGTACTAAATCAGCACAGTCTTGCCCAATTTGCCATGCTACTCCCACACAATTCAATGATCTCACAAAAGACATAACAAATGATTTTATGGCGAATGCTAATGCATTGCAGTATGGAATCAGTCCATTGCATGCATGGATAAGATTATTTGAATTGTGTGTGAATATCTCAAAGAAACTTGAAATTAAAAAGTGGCAAGCAAGAAGTACAACGGATAAGGAAATATGTGCGCGTCGAAAAACCAAACTTCAAGATGTTTTGTGGAACAGACTTGGGTTAAAGGTAGATATACCTAAAGCTGGAGGAAGTGGCTCTACAAACGATGGCAACACAGCTCGTCGTGCCTTTCAAAACCCGGAGCTATTTGCAGAATGTTTGGGTCTTAATCCAATGTTGATTCGTAATTTTTCGACAATTTTGATTGCTTTATCTTGTCATCTACCAATAGATCCAGATAAATTTGATGAACTCTGCGATTTAACTACTAATCTTTATGTTCAAGATTACGCTTGGTATTACATGAGCGCTACACTACATAAAATCCTAAAGCATGGTGGTACGATAATTAGGACTAGTGTGTTACCAGTCGGTATGCTTGCGGAAGAGGCATCAGAATCGCGAAATAAAAACTACAAAAATTTTAGAGAAAGTCACAGTCGAAAATTTAGTCGTGAAGCTACTCTAGAAGATGTTTTCCTTCGATCAATGGACACATCTGATCCATATATTTCCACCTTGAGCCTTCGAACAAGATTAAATAAAAAGAAAAAGTTACCTCTTCCAGTAGAAGTAGCTGCATTGCTTAAATCTCCAGAAATTTCTAGTGGGAACTTTAATTATGAAAATGAAAATGATGATGATGATGCTGATGATGATGATGATAGTAGCGACCTTACAGGCCTCAACCAATTCTATGCAAATTTGGACAATTTAGAAATTAGCAATGATGAATCAGATTAACTAAGCTGCTTTGAAGCACTTTTATTTTTCTTACATTAAAAACAGTTATCAGCGCAAAAAATGAAAAAAGAGTAAAAAATTTAAAAAAAAATTAAAAAAATAAAAAAACCAAAAAAATAAAAAAACCAAAAAAATTAAAAAAATTTTAAAAATCTAAAAAAAAATACAAAATGGGATCTTTACCTGTAACCTCCTCGTGGTAGATTCTGGAAACTACAGTACGTTTTATTTTTGTAGGCTAATAACAGGAAAATTTTGTTTATTTTCTTAATTTTATACACACTAGTTTTGTAATCACCAAACTTAAAAACTCCCAAGCAACAAATTGTAGGCGAATCTCATCCAATCTAAAATCCACTTGAATTCTTACATCAGATTCGTAATCAGCGACCGAAAAAACCCATAGATACCTATGTTTAATTCAAATTTATTGATTTTAAAATTTTATGTCTGCCATATTGGATCCGCCATTTTGAATTTTTGAAATCTGACATCAGATTCGTAATCAGCGACCCAAAAAACCCATAGATACCTATGTTTAATTCAAATTTATTGATTTTAAAATTTTATGTCCGCCATATTGGATCCGCCATTTTGAATTTTTGAAATCTGACATCAGATTCGTAATTAGCGACCCAAAGAACCCATAGATACCTATGTTTAATTCAAATTTATTGATTTTAAAATTTTATGTCCGCCATATTGGATCCGCCATTTTGAATTTTTGAAATCTGACTTCAGATTCGTAATCAGCGACCCAAAAAACCTTTAGATACTTATGCTTCATTGAAATTGATTCATATAAAAAAATTTATGTCCGCCATATTGGATCCGCCATTTTGAATTTTTGAAATCTGACTTCAGATTCGTAATCAGCGACCCCAAAAACTGTAGGTAGCATACTTTTTATTCGTAAATATCTTGTATTTTTTAAAATAATGATTTTTGGCCAAAAATCGACGATCCTGGCCCACTGTGCAATCCATGACGTTAATAGCCAGGACGTTATTCAAATAACTTTTTTTCTATTTTTAATATTTTGTGCACCCTACAAAGGTGGACTTGACCTAACTTTTAATCATGGGTTGTAGCATATTTTTCCTCTTTTTTTTTTGTTGCAGATTTCAGTAAATTTGGTCGTAAATAGTGACTACAAATTTTATTAGACAAAACTTTTTGAACCTTTTTCGAGAAATTCATAATAAGAAAATGTCTTTTGAAGAAAAATTAACCATGGGATCCGTTCATATATTAAATCCACAATTGTCTACGAGGGTGAGGAGGGGGGGGGGTCAAAGCCATTGTGCACGTGGGCTCAGTAAAACTTTAATTTTCTCCTTCATATTTTGATTTATATTACTTTCATATTTTTCGCCACTGTTTTAATTACCTAATTTTAAAAAGAGATTTGTTATAAAAAAAAATTATTTTTTATAACATAATTAACTTTTACCCTTTAACGCCTGACCTTTTTTAAGTAACAAAAATTTCATTAATCACAGTGGTTAAGAATTTTTTTTTTTTATAGTAGTTGATTACGAATCCGATGTCAGTTTTGCAAAATTCAAAATGGTGGATCCAATATGGCGGATGATTTTTTTTTAAATTGATCGGATTTGCATGAAATTCATTACTCGGGGGGTTTCTGGGGTCGCTGATTACGAATCCGATGTCAGTTTTTCAAAATTAAAAATGGCGGATCCAATATGGCTGACAAAATTTCGAAAAATTGAGCAAAGCTCTTGAAAAACAATCTCGAAAAACCCCCAAGTAATGAATTTCAAGACAATTTCAATCAATTTTTTAAAAAATTATTCGCCATATTGAATCCGAAATTTTTAATTTTTAAAAACTGACATCGAATTCGACCCCAAAAAACCTTCGAGTATAATGAGTTTCATACAAATCGGACAAATTTAAAAAAAAAAATCGTTTGTCATTTTTAATTTTGAAAATGGATTTGTAATGGAAGGGGAGATTGTTCACAATGGGAGGAGGGGGAGTAAAAAGTGATATAAAAAATTGTCCATATATGGACGACCATTTTCAACAACCTATTAATGTGTACGCGTAAGAAATTTTTTTCTTTCTTGAGTCGCTCAATCGCTTTTTTGAGTGACACAGTTTACGACAAAAATTACGGAAATAGTCAAAAAAAAAATCATGTGCTTTGATTTAAAGTTGCTGTCCAAATAACCTTCTTCAGTCGCTTTGTGTAAAATCCAAAGAAATTTCACAAAAATTTCAATTTGGGGTAGCCAACAACCCCAGAGAAAATTCATTTGCCACTTCTAGGTTTCAAGCTCTGTTTTTGCATAAATTCAGGTTTATGTTTGGTGCAAGAATCATCAAGTTCGCTTCGTCCGAGAGATATTTGTTTCTACCAAAATTAAAAATAATGAAAAGTAACCGTTTTTCATGATAAAGAACTCAAAAAAAGAAATAAAAATTATTTTTTGCCGAATTTAAATTTCTCTAAACTTTATTATTATAATAATTAAAGTGAAAAATGATGGATGAAAAAAGAGGAATGTGGAAAGGTATTAAAATCTCTCACCCGGAACTGCTATTGCTGCTGCCATTAACTGGAATTAAAGGTGGCGGGTATTTGTTATGCGAGGAATTGTGCACGGGTGGCGTGTGTCTCTGAGGATGCGGCAAGAGCGTCGATGGCGACGTCTGTGCTGGCATCAGGGCTTGAACTTGCTCCGCGCTCAAACCGAGCATCTGCGGATACGGGGCAGCGGCGTTAGGAACGCCCATGCTTGTTGGCGTCGTATACGTCGTCGACACCCTGAAACGCAAAAAGCGTTCTTCATCTCAGAAAATATTTTTTTTTCCATATTATATTTAATGTTTAACGGCGTGGAAAACTACGTTTCACGTATACAGAAGATTTCTTTTTTTCCAATTTTTCTCCTCTTTCATTTTTTTTTTCATTGGAAAAATGATAGAATATTTATTTTACATACACTCATTGGATGATTCTCCAAAAAAAAAAAAAATGTCACAAAAACACTATAGTTTGCTCGAAAATTTTGATAGAACAAAGTGATAAAAACCAAAGAAAGAATTTATTCGAAAGAATAAATTATTAAAATTTAAAGTATTAAAATTATTAAAATTATTAAAATATTAAAATAAAATTGTGTGTTAAAGGAAAAACAACAAAAAATTGAATTAACACAAAAAAATAAGCTTCAAGCTGTTGGATATAGATAGTAAGCAAAGTCAATACAGTAAGATTGTTCAAGGTTATATTAACATTCCGCCATTTTGAATATTGGATCGGCCATTTTGAATATTCGAAATGTGACTTTCGTGTTAAAGACTTGTAAAAGAATATAAATTTTTTTTTATCAAACTATTAAATATTTAAATTTAAAGTATTAAAATATTAAGCAATAGTTAAATATTAAATTTAAACTATTACAATATTAAAGCGTTTTGATAAATCAATGTTTGTTAAATGCTACGAGTTGATCAATCATACTTTATATTAATAAAAAAAAACTATAGGTACACCCAGAGAAAAATTTTATTTTAATCAAATATAATTTATTTCAGTTAAATAAAAGTATATTTCTCTCAGAGCCAACTAGGTTATTTGTTTTAAATAAAAATGTTATTATTTTATTATTATTCAATTTTATTATTAAAATTATTTATTAGACATAAATAAAACTTTTATTTTGACCTAATTAAATTTTATTTTCATCAAATAAAATTTATTTGAAACAAATAAAAAGTCTAGTCAAATATATCTTTTTTCTGGGTGTATAAAGAATAAAAGATTTTTTAAAGTTAGCATTGCATTGACAGGAACAACAACAATATCTGTGCATTTATATAATTATTTTCCAATATAAATTTAATATTCGAAACATCAGTTAATAATCAATTTTCTTTCGATTTTTTTAGTAGTTTCATCTAAAAAATTCCAATTCTCATCTAGAAAATGATTGAAATTACATTTAAAAAATAGGGAAATTTAATTTTCAAATCAATTATAATAATACCGAACATTAATTCAGACCTCGGATCGAAGAGAGCAAAAAAATTAAAAAAAAAAAAAAATAGAAAAAGTCCTTTATTTCTAATTATTATACTTGTTAAAAATTTGTTTAATTTCGATCTCGCTTCTTCCAAAATTTAATTATTTCTAAAAATTACAACTGTAACCCTTGTAGAATTTAATTATTTTCTATAATTTTCAAATAAACTTCTTCTTTAAATTTATCAATAATTTCTGATAATTTTCGGAAGGATTTTCGAGAATTATTTTCAAATCAATTATTAAAATAAAAAAAAAATCAATTTTTTATAATAATCGTAACTGTAGCTTTTCAAGGTTTTTTTTTAAAAAATTAAGCTTATTGAAAATATATAATCAAAAATATTAAAAATAATTGAATGTAAAAAATTATAATGAAAAAAATATTATAATTAGATTTTTTTAACCAATTTAATAATAATTTTTGAAAAATGATACAATTTTCATTTATATTAAAATATTTCTAAAATAATTCAAATTTAGTAGAACTTTTAGAAAATAAGTGAATTAAAAAATTATAATAAAAACTATTATCAAAATTAGTTTCTTAAAAATATTTTAAAATAATTTTTGAAAAAATGATAGAATTTTCATTTATATTAAAATATTTCTGAAATAATTCAAATTTAGTAGAACTTTTACAAAATAAGTGAATTTACTTTAGAAGCATATTTGGAAAATTTTGGAAAATATTAAAAAATAATCAAGAATTTTTGAGACTTTTAATTAAAAATATGGAAATACTTGATTTTTCAAAAATTAACAATAAGTTTTGAGATAAAAAGTAGATTTTAAAAAAATGTTAATGTACTTCTTCTGAAGATAATTGAATTTAAGAAAATTATAATAAGAAAAAGTGTTAAAAATTAGTTTTCAAAAATCATGTAAAAAAAAATTTTCGACTATTGAATTTCTTAAAACTTAATACAAAATTTTCAGACAATTTAAAGAAGCAAATTTTTGAAAATAATTGTTTTCTCTATAATTTTATAATAATAATTTATAAAAAAAATAATTGTTTTCTCTATAATTTTATAATAATAATTTATAAAAAATTAGATTTTAAAAAAAATTCTATTCCTAATTCTTTTGTAGATATTTAAATTTTTGAGGAAATATGTAATTGAAATTAATGAAATTTAAAAAAATTATAGTGAAAGAATTTTAAACATTATACTTTTTTAAAAAATCTTTTAATACAATTTTTTAAATCTAATTTTCATTAATTTCTATTTTCGAATTTTTGTTTTCAAATTTTGCATTTGGAGATTTTTCATTAAAATTTTTAAAAATTCAATTATTTTCAAAATTTTTAATTAAAATTCTTCAAAAATTTGATTTTCAAAATTTTTAATTAAAATTCTTTAAAATTTGATTTTTAAAAATTTTAACGAAATACTTGAAAACAATTAAATTATACCTATTGAATAAAATTCAATAAAGTTCAATAAAAAACTTTTTGAAAATAAATCAAAGAAAGTCGCTTTTTTCAAAAAAGTAAAAAAATTTACAAAACATCACACAATCTGAGGCCTATTAAAAGTTTTTTTCCAGTTTCGGATGTTTCGTTAAATACAATGAATTAAAAAAAATATATATATTTTATTTCAACTTTTGAAATTTAACTTCAGTAGATTTAAATAATTTAATTTTAAATAATGTAATTAATTTTAAAACATATTTCTCAAAATATTTTTAAATGATTATGAATATAACAATTTTACTTCAAAATTGACCTCTTTTTTTCAATTTCTTGCTATAAAATATTTTTTTAACACAAGTTAAAAAAAAAGTAACAAAACCGTCAATCAGGATAAATTTTAAAGACTATTTTTAGTTTCATATTTATATATAAAGAAATAATTTATTTTTCACTCTAAATAATATTAATATTTACTTTAAATAATTATTTTATAATATCAAAATTGATTTCATCCAAAATTTGAAAAATTCAGATTTATAATTTAAAGGAAAATTAATTTCTGCCTAAATTTATTGAAACGTTTAAAATTTTAAATTATATTCTTAAAATTTTTTTAAATTTAACAAAATAATATTTTTTAATGAATATATTATTACCCTAGGGCAATAAAGTACCCAAAATTACCCTAGGGCACTTGTGGACACTTTATTGATCGCTCGCAGGTCACTAATGTGCCCTTTATTACCCTAGGGAAATAATGAACACTTCATTGACCAGCTGGGCTATATGGACTACATTGGCCGCTTGCAGGTCAATAAAGCACCCATTATTACCCTAGGTCAATTATGGTCACTTTATACAGGTACTCACAGGTCAATAAAGTGTTCATTATTGTCCTAGGGTAATAATGGTCACTTTATTGACCATCTGAGCAATATGAAGTAACTTAGCATGCGATTTAATAAAAACTTAATGCAATTTGCACATTTTGTAAAAAAAACAAAAAAATATATATTTTATAATATTTTACACACAATATATACTTTTTGCTCAAAAATCTTCCCAGTTGACGGTAATCATACAATAGTTGAAATAAAAAGAGGAGAATTTGATACTTAAAAAAAAATTAATTACTCGCTGATATTTCTTTTATCAGAAAATCTGAATAAGATTTAAAAAAAAATTCGAGCACATGCCAGCTTATTATTACTTAATAAAGAGTGTACAACTATTATACATTATGCAGGAACTCACCAGTCATCCTTCCCATAGGTTGGATAACTATACAAAAAACCATACATTGTATATATACAAAGATGGGAGGCTAGTGTGCGGGTATCTATATATATATACATAAATATATATAGACATTCAAAGGTAGGACGCGAAAAATTTTCTAAAAACACTTCATTCAATAAAATTGCATTTATGCAACTCAGGTGTTCCCTAAATAACTCCAATAAGTTCCCTTCTATAATAACGGACAATTAAGTGACTATTATTGCCCTAGGGCAATAATGGGTACTTTCTTGACCTGCGAGCAATCAATAAAGTGCTCATTATTACCCTAGGGCAATAATAAATAACTAAATTCCCACTTATAACCTAGTGGGCAATAAAGTGACCATTATTGTCCTAGGTCAAAAATTGGCACTTGCTTGACCTCTGAGCGATAAATAAAGTTACCATTACTGCCCTAGGGCAATAATTAATAACGCCTGAGTTGCATAACTATTATTAGATTTAAAATTAAAAACTGAAAATATTAATTATTGCCCTAGTTGCATAACTAGGCCTTGCAACGCCTGAGTTGCATAATCTACTATCATTAGATTTAAACGTGAAGACTGAAAATATAAATCGATAAAAAATTTTAAAAATTACAGGGTTGCCTAATTCACAAATTAGAAGCATGACAGGAAAAATTATAAATTTAAAAAATATTTTTGTCACAAACAATTGTATTGTATTATATACAAACTATTTAATAATTTTTATTTATATTTTAAATTATTTTTATTAATTTTTTTTTATAACCTTCTGAAAAAATTATTATTTTGAAAAATTTTATTTAAAATTATTAAAAAATCAGTTTTTTGAAGAATTTTAAACGGTTCAATGTGCATTTATTTAAAATAATTTAATTTCAAAAAAGGTAAAATTTGAAATTTGATTAATTTGCTAATTTCAGAAAAAGAATTGAAATATTTTTGAAAAATTATTTAAAAAAACTTTAAAATTTATTTTTAATTTTTTAAAAAATTTCAGTTTATTTTATAGTCAATTAAATTTTTATAAACAAGTAATTAAAAATTTTTAAAATAATTTTCCGAAAAAAAAATTCTAAAAAGTAAAAATTATATTCAAAATAATTGAATTTTTATAAAGAATTTTGTTGAAAATTTCAAAAATAATAAATTGAAATTCTTGAACTTAAAAAAAAAATTTTTAAAAGTAAAAATTATAATTAAAAATAATTGAATTTTTACAAAAGATTTTATTGAAATTTTCAAAAATAATAAATTGAAATTCCTAAAATAAAAAAAAATTCTAAAAAGTAAAAATTATAATTAAAATAATTGAATTTTTAATAAAGAATTTTATTGAAATTATCAAAGGGAAGAACAAAATCAAATTTTTGTGGCAACTCTGAAATTGTTTTAAAAAAAAATTTGAATAATCTTAAAACTGAAAATAAACCAATTAAACGAGGTGCTAAAAAATAATTTAATTTAAAATATTTTTCAATTAAGGCAAATTTTCTCGACTTCTGAACGTGTAGAAATTTTTGCAGATTTACGAGGTCCCTGAAGTTGGCGTCGACGTTTAGCGTCAAAAACTATTTTTAGAAACGTTGGTGCTAAAAATGTCACATTTTTTTTTCATATATCTAGGAAGTAAAAATTTATACACTTTCTTAAATATAATATTTTTGAAAAATAGGGCAAATTTTTTTTTGGCTTTTATGTTAAAAAGAATATGATTTGATACTCAACGTCGACGCTAATTTTAAAAAGTTAAAAATAAAAAAAAATGTTGAAATCGGTTTAAAAAGGGAGAGGGGGAATATTTAAATACTTTACTGAAAATTTAAATTTACTGTAAAAGTAAATATAAATATTTTTATTTAAAAAAAAAATATTTATTAAAAAAATTTTTTTTTTAAATTATTTTTATTTTTTATTAAAAAAATCACATTAACAACAGTTTTACCGAAAGTAAAGGATTTAGCGTCCCCAAATAATTATAAACAATCAATGAGAATGTAAAAATACACGAATTTTCGAAATATATAAATTGATGATGATGATGATGAAGAAGAAAGCAGAAATGACGATGATGATGATGAAGAAGAAGAAGTGGAAGTAGTAAATGAATAAAAATTTCTTTCCTATCAAATTCATAGACAAAAATTTCTTCTCTCAAAAGGAGAGAAAATAATTGTCGCAAAAAAACTTGAAATTATCTTATTAAAAGATAAAGTTCGTGTGGGTAAGAAAAACAATGCAAAGAAGAAAGTTTAGAGAAATATGTGCATTGAAAAAAAGTAAAAATTACTTTTCCGGATGTTTTCAAAATGGAAACAATCTTAAAAAGGTAAAAAAAAATTCGTTGGGTAATTTTAATATAAAAAAACGTATAATTTAAAAAAAAATTAATTCAAAAATCCAAGTTCAAAAGTAGCAATTTCAGGAAAATCACTGAAATACGAAAATACATTTTCCGAAATAATGCACTTTATAAGGCAACTTCGGACGTTCTGAGACCGAAATGAGAAAATATTTTCAATTCTATAAATACAAATAGGGAAATATTAAATTCACATTTTTAATCTCTTTATAAGAGACTTTGTACTCAATACTCATCTACTAAAACCTACTATTTACTTTTTTTACGATTAGCTACGATTTGGATCCTTTTTTTTAAATTTGTGACACTAAAAGCTACTTTTTTCATATTTTTTTTTAAATTTGCACAACTTCAAATCTGCTAATAGTTGAAATAAAAAAATTATTCTCAAAAATTTTAATAAAATTCTTCATAGAAACAATTGAAATTTTTTTATAAAATTCTCTCAAACAAAGCAATTGTTTTCAAAAATTTTTCTAAAATTTTTTGCCAGGAAATACTGAAAATCTGCGCTGAAATTCAAATATTTTCAATATCAATTATTTTAATAAAATTTCTCAAAAGAATTCTATTATTTTAGAAAAAAATATTTTAAAAAATTAAAGGCAAAAATTCAATTAATATCTTAAATAAGCAAATTTTCACAGAAATTCAATTTTTTGAAATCGAATTTTCAAGAAAATTTTTCGAAAGAAATTAATTATTTTCTAAAATTTTTGATAATATTTGTTTATGAGAATTAAATTATTTTCATAAGTTGATAATAAAATTCATCGCAAGAATTAAATTATTTTTAATACAATTTTAATTTAATTATTCGAAATAATTAAATTATTGTTTTCAATTTTCATAAAATAAATAATTTGAAAAAATTCAATTATTTTAAAAAAATTTATCTAAATTCGGTGCAAGAATTCAATTACTTTTTATATGAATTTAATAGAATTCCTCAAAAAATGTAATTATTTATTTTTGTATTTAAATAATAATTGAATTCCTGTAGAACTTTAAATCATTTTAGAAAAAAATTTATAAAATTCAACTCAAAAATAAGAAGCACTTTAAAAAAAAAAACTTTTTTTTGACCGAAAAAAATTTTTTTTAATTTTTTGAATTTAAATTTTAAAAAAAAATACCTTTTTTGATTTGAAATTTTTTTTGTAGATATTGTCTATAAAGTAAAGAATACTTCCAGTAAATTTAATTATGGGACAACAATAACTTTATTAAAAATTTTACGAAAATTTTGTTTTTAAACTTTTTTTTAATAATTGAATATTAAATGCGTTGGAATATAAATTTTTAGAAATAGTTAAATTTCAAAAACTTTAACATTTTTTTAAACTAATATTTTATTTTAATTACTCATAATGCTATTAAATTAATAAAAATTAAATTACAGAGGAAGAAACCTTTCATTAAAAATATGAAAAAATAAAACTATTATGAAGAAAATAATAATTGAAAAATAATATAATGATAATAATAATAATAATAATAATAATAATAATAATAATAATAATAATAATAATAATAATAATAATAATAATAAATATACATTTATAAATAAATTCAATAAATTTTAACATCTTCAGTAACTGATGAAATTACTAAATATTTTATTATTTCGCAATTTTTTCTATATTTAATTCTTAATGAAAAGAACATTAATAATGTCAATAAATTGATTGACGAATATTCTGAAGTGAGATTATAATAAATAACGGAAGTTTTATATATAAAAAATCATTATTTAAAAATTCTTTATACTAAAAAAAAGATCTCTTTCAATGCCTTCTTACATAAAACATTTTTAAAATATTGATAAAAATATATAATTTACATTTCCTGGATATAACCGAAAATTAAAAATTTAAAACCTTTTATTTCTCATCACCAGTTATCGGATAATTTAATTAAAGTTTAATTAATTGATATAAGATAAAATGTTATTAATAAGAAATTACATATAATTGTAACTTGAATTATTAACTTTGTAACTGTCCATCTTTATTACATCTGAATATTCAATAAAAATTAATTTTTATTTTTCAAAATAGAAAAATTTATTTAAGTATGTAAATTAATCTAAATTAATTTATTCTTGATCATTGAAATTATCATGAACATAACCTAAAACATTTTCCGCATAAGGTATACCTTTCACAGTAGAGCGTCACATATGAGGTATTTTTTTATAAAAAAAAATTAAGAAACGTTTTTTTTTTATTTTTCAATAACATTTTATTTCAATTTCTTAAAAATTAGGAGTTTTTGAATCATAAAAAATCAAATTTAAATTAAAAATATTGAAAAAAAAACCTTTAAAAAATAACGATTTTATAAGAATAAATCATTTTTAGAATTAAAATAATTTTATTGAAAAAAAATCAAAACAGTTTTGTTGAAATATAAAATTTCTTATATTAAAAAAAAACGGCAGTCAAGTTCGGCCCACTTTTTGACCTATGTTTATAACTTTCTATGAATATTGTAAATTACTTGTGATCTGAAAATAAAATATAGTTATAAACATTTAAAAAAAAGAATGTAGTCAAGGATGGCCCATATAGTCAAGGTTGGCCCGCGCCTAAAATTCGAAGCGCAAATAATTGAATTGTTTTAAAGTATTTTATAAAAAAAATGTTTAATTGTTTCCAAAAGAATTTTATTAAAATTTTCAAGAATAATTTTTTTCTTTTAAACTGTAAGTAGATTTAAAGATATATAAAAATTTTCAAAAACAAAAAAAATGAAAAAAGTTACTTTTAGTGTCACAAATTTTTAAAAAAGGATCCAAATCGTAGCTAATTGTAAAAAAAAGTAGTAAATCGTAGGTTTTAGTAGAAGAGTGCAAAGTCTGAACTTGAAATGAATCAACTTAAATGATTTCAAATCGACTCACAATCAGTCTATACATAAAAAAAAATTCTTTTCGCATTTAATTCAAAATAAACGTTTCTATATTTTGGACTTAAAAAAAGTACTGAAAATATTCAGCGAAACGTAAATTTTTATATAGATTCATATATTTCCTAAATAAGACAAAAATTTTACCGATTAGGAAAAAAATAATTTAATTATAAGTAATTTAATATATAATTAGAAAAAATGGAATAAAAGAGGAAAAATAATAAAAATTTGACTTGTGAATTTTGACATGGTAATGAATATAGAACCCATGCGTTTGCGTGCTGTGTTGCTCTCTATATATATATGTATATAATATCCTACATTCGAATAAGCGAAGCGAAAATTATAATTAATGATTTCTCTATTTTATTTATTTTTGATTAATAATGGCAAAATGAACTTACCCAATATTGGATTGATTGGATTGGGTGGCTCGAATAAGAGGGGGTGGTTGGACATGAACGGCAGATTGCATCGTCGTAACCGGATAAACGCCGGGATATTGCGCAGCTCCGCCACCACCCCCTCTACTCCTTGACTGCTGAGAGTAAGTCTTACTCGCCGTTGTCATTTGCTAAAACAAATTCAAAAAATTTCAATTTTCAGCTTTTTTAAATGCAAAAAAAAAACAAAAAAAAAATAAAAAGAGTAATTTCTATTTTCCTAAAAATTCAAAATGGCCGCTTGGAGACAAATTCGAAAGAAGAATTTCTTTCGAATTTGTCTCCAAGCAGCCATTTTGAATTTTTGAAATATTCTCTCTGCTCATTATGTTTATATCAAAGTTCCATATTTTTTGACTTAGTATTTAATACTAAAAGGAAATTCGATTCGAAAATCTAATTTTATTTATTTATTTATTTATTTATAATAATCAAAGTTCCTAGGTTTAGTAAAAGAAAAGCAAACTACTAGGGATATAATTCTAAATTATTTTTTTCAGGTTGAAAGATTAAATTTCTTTTGCAGATATTTTTAGGATTATATTTTTCAGAGGAAAATTTATGATTTTGTTTTTCTTGAAACTTTCTATTTCTTGAACCTAAAGAGATGTTTTGCACATTTTAGATTAGGGTTTTTATTGCCGGGTATCTGTGAAACCTACCGATAGTTTAACTGCTTTTCTACCGAGATTAACGCCCGTGCGACAATTTAACCGATCTAGGTAGGATGAGTTTTATTATATTTAGAAACACTTTGTATACTTTATGAAAACATCTCTCGCCTGACACTATATTTTTTTTAACGAATCTTTTGCTTTTACTTTTAGGCACAAAAACACTCACTTTTGACACCCTTTGTACAAAAAATTGGCTTCGTTTTTCACGAAAACTTTATTACCTTCAAGGACGGCGCCTTTGAGTCAGTAATTTCTGAACGCTGTAGATTAGCATAACTCAAAATCAAAAGGAAATATAACCCCAAAAAATGTTGTTATTTTTAGTATAACTCTAGGGACTCTAGGTCAAAGGGAAACTTAACCTCAAAATTAGATATGTTAATTGCAATTTTACTATTTACTAAATTAAATAATGTATTACATTTCTCTGTTCTCTAAAAAGTGAGGTTTATTTTTATAATGTAGAGTCAATTGTTATGTCCTAGAAAAAATATTTTCTATATTTAAATCAAGCTAGAAACGACAGATAAAGAAAATTATCTTATTAAAAATGGAGGGGTTGACGCGCGCAGAGGGCGAAGCAAAATCCAGTTCTTGATATCCCAGCTCATTATTTTTTTATAATCTTTTCATTTTTATTTATTATAAACTGAAGTTATCAATGTTTTTGTCGACGTAATAAGACCGACTTTTTGTGAAAAACTATTGTGTGAATTGTAATTTAAATTTGCTCTTTGTCCAACAGTTTAACTGGTCATGGGCATTATTTTGAGGTTATGTTCGCCCTGTGACCTTCGCTCTACTGTTTAACTAAATATAGACCTAATTTTCAGGTTATGTTTGCTCCTTATTTATGATGATATAATTTTGAAAAGAACAAGATCTTTTAGAAGTCATTTCGCCAATATTTTATTTAGATATTTTTAAAAAATCGTCATTTCCAATGTTTTACAAAAATTTGAATAACTTCTAAAATAATAAACGCTTTTTCATGATTTTTGAGACTTATTTTAAAGGTCATTTGCTACACTATAAGAATTACTTGTAGGCATTAACGTGTAATTTTTTTTTATAAAGTGCAGTCCGTCAAAATTGGACCAAAAAAATTCAAAAATTTTGAAACCATTTTTCTGTACTAAAAACTATTCTAGAAAATATATTTTTGTATGGTGTACATTTTTCAAGAAAATTTAATAAAAAAAAAATACGTTTGAATTTTAAAAATTATTTTTCTGTTAATAAGAATGTTTCCGAATGTTTCCAATTTTTTGAATTTTTTTTGGTCCAACTTTGACGGTCGGCATGTTTTAAGAAAAAAATTACCCGTTAATGCCTATAAGTAATTCTTATAGTGTAGCAAATAACCTTTAAAATAAGTCTAAGATCATTAAAAAGCGGTTATTATTTTAGAAGTTATTATTTTAGAAAATGACGATTTTTTAAAAATATCTAAATGAATTACACTGGACTACAAAATTTTTTTTAAAGAAAGTATTGACCGGACCATGTTTTTTATATGTTTTTTGGGTCGCTGAATTCGAATCCGAACTCAGTTTTGCGCCATCACGTCAAATTTCTTCAAAATGGCGGAACCAATATGGCTGACGTATTTTAAAAAAAAAATTATCAGATTTATTCGAAACTTGTTACCTGGGGGTTTTTGGGGTCGCTGAATACGAATTTCACATTAGTTTTAAAAAATCCAAAATAGCGGATCCAATATGGCTAACGAATTATTTAAAAATTTACCAGTTTTTGAATTTTTGAAAACTAAGGTGAAATTTGTATTTAGCGACCCCCAAAACCCCCGAGTATAACGTTTCAGGTAAATCCAATAATTTTTTAAAAATTGGTCAGCCATATTGGATCCGCCATTTTGAATTTTTTAAAACTGAGGTGAAATTCGTATTTAGCAACCCTAAAAACCCCCGAGTAACAAGATTCAGGCGAATTGGGTGAATTTTAAAAAAATCGACGCCATATTGGATCCGCCATCTTAAATTTGGAATATTTACGAGTTTCTTTGATTGTTTAACATTATATAATATTTTTTCAGTGTTTTAAAGTTGCTTTTTAATAGAATCTTCTGTTTATTTTTATTTAAATCTTGTTTACAGTCAGTTTTTTTCGAATTTTATTAATTTGTGAAGAAACTTGACGTGATGGCGGAAAACTGAGTTCGGATTCGAATTCAGTGTCCCAAAAAACATATAATATACATAGTCTGGTGAATACTTTCTATAAAAAAATTTTGTAGTATTGGCCAAACGACTTCTGAAATGGGACGCATGATTATTCCCCAAATGTCATTTTTCCGAAATGTCATTTTACCGAACTGCACTTTTGCGAATAGTCATTTTTGCGAAAAGCCATTTTTGCGAATTGTCATTTTTGCGAAATTTCATTCTTGAGAAATGTCATTTATGCGAATTGTCACTTTTGCGAATCGACATTTTTACGAATTGTCACTTTTCCGAAAAGTCATTTTTGCGAATTGTCATTTTTTCGAAAAATACAATAGTAAACTTGTAGTATATATAGATTCACTATTGTATTTTTCGCAAAAATGTCAATTCGCAAAAATGACAATTCGCTAAAATAGCTTTTCGCAAAAATGACAATTCGCAAAAATAGCTTTTCGCAAAAATGACAATTCGCAAAAACGACAATTCGTAAAAATTACTTTTCGCAAAAATGGCTATTCTCAAAAATGACATTTCGTAAAAATGTCGATTCGCAAAAGTGACAATTCGTAAAAATGGCGATTCGTAAAAATGTCGATTCGCAAAAGTGACAATTCGTAAAAATGGCGATTCGCAAAAATGACAATTCGCAAAAATGAAAATTCGTAAAAATGACTTTTCGCAAAAAATACTATTCGCAAAAATGGCTTTTCGCAAAAATGACTATTCGCAAAAGTGCAGTTCGGTAAAATGACATTTCGGAAAAATGACATTTGGGGAATAATCATGCGCCCCTTCTGAAATATCTTATTCTTTCCAGAATTTTATCAACTTTCAGAAAATGAACAAAAAAAATTTTAGTTTCAATAAATTTTATGTTTTAAAACGTTTTCCATTCGCCTAAAAATGGGTGGTCTCTCAATTTTGACCGGTAGTGTATAATATATTACAAATAATTAAATTTTTATATAATAAAATTTATTAGAAAATCTCTCTAATTGCGATTGTTTTTTGTCGGTGGAATGATTTGAAATGAAATGCCTCATATGAATTAAGCGAGCTACTTAAATTTCTAAACACTCACAATTATTTTATAAAATACTTTTTTAAAAATTTTTTTTTTTTTAAACTTGCTGTAAAATTATTTTAGATGGAGGGGGCCCATATATTTGAAAGGGGGATAGGAAAGAATGGAAAAAAGATGACGTGTGAGGATTGCATGGATTTGTTGGAATTAGTATGGATATTGAAGGATGCGATGGATGAAGGAGCTAAGAGAGGTTAAGAAAAGTTCTATTTTCGCCACACTTACTTTCGCCACTCTGTTCAGAGGAATTAAGAAAAGTTTTACTTTGGCCACGCTAAAAATTTACTTTCGCCACTCTGTTCAGAGTTGTTGTAAAAAGTTCTACTAGTTGCACAATCTACTACTTTTTGCATCACTTCAAAAGAAAAGTAATAGAAACAAATAAATACTCAACATACAAATTATGAAATGAAATCAAAAATATTATTTAAACTCACGTTATGTGTGCTGAGTGCAGAATTAGGCATCCTAATAATTTGATTAGCCTGCGAGACCAAAGCGGCTTGAAAAGTCGGTTGAGTGCTAACAAGTCCCGACCAGCCATTAACAGCCGTTTGAACAGCATTGAGTGCAGCAAAATCCCTTTGCGTTATTGGCTGTGCAATCGTATTGCTCCTAACGGAAGAAATAGTCGACGACGATGAATGTTGTGCATGTGAAATTGGTGTCCTAAGTTGCGTGACTCGTTGAATTGTCGCATTCGGCCTCTGTATCATATTCTGCATTGGCTGTGCTCTCACAATTGTATTTTTCGCTACATTATTTTGAACTGATTTTGGCGCCGGTGGTGTTGCCGGTTGTTTTGTCCAACCGCCACCACCACCGCCACCTTTACTATTAACAATTAATTGCGAATCCATAACTTTACTGGGCCAATAATCCTCAAAGCCAGTCCCAGGTGGGAAGTAACTCTTAATATCACTGAGACTAATGACAGAGCATGTTTCACTAGCAAACAATTCATTTCTAATTCCCTGAACTTTACAGCAGAATTTCAAGTAGGATAGATCCCAGCCCTCGAGTTTTTCCGCCTTTAGTTTTAGATTGTCAGTCTCGCCCTCGAAGTAGAATAGAGGAACGTATTTGAGGTTGTCCTTGACGGTGTAGGGGACGACGGATTCCTTGTTGATGCGAATGAAGCCGCACTTGTCGGAGGGAGTGGCTCGATTACTGGCGGTGAGTTTAGTGTAACAGACATCGAGGAAGGCGTAAAATTCCTTGGCGTCAGCGAGCCTCACGACAAGATCTTTACTGGTGAATTGCTCGCGGCCAAATTGATTTTCACAGTGCTTTGAATTTATTTCGTTGAGTAGCTTACTCTCGGCTTCGGTGATGTAGTAACTGCGAATGCAGGTACAACTGTAAATGTCCGAATGAAGATAGCTCAGGTACTTGTTGAGGAGCTTGGACTCGAGGATCCGCACTGCACAGAATTTTTCGCCGGCACGAAAAATATAGGGAATGTGTGTTTCGTCAAAGCTGACCCAACCGAAACGTCCACGTTGGCTCTCGTCATCTAGAGGGACTTTTCCTTCCTTTGCCTGTGGAGTGTCGGTGGCACGCTTCTGCTGTGTTGTGCCCAGGGTCAGGGTGTTGGTATTGTTGTTGAAGAACAACATACCCTGAAGACTGCCTTGTTGTAGGCCACTCGGTCGCTGGACGCCGAGGGTCGCAACACTCGGAGTCATTTTCGCCTTGTGTGCTTCCACCATCTTGGCTGCCAGCTCCCGGATTTCGGCCTCATCTGGACGTTCTTCTTTAACTGGAACTTTAAACGAATCTGAAACAAATAATATTTATCTTATTATTATTTTATCTTCATTAAAGTATACAGCCCTTGATTTTTATTCTTGTTTTTCATTATTTTTCATTTTTCCTAATTTTTCAAAATAAAAGAGTATAAAAATTAGGGGAAAAATGAGCCAAAGAGCAACAAAAAAAAAGGTTGAAAATTACGTAATTTTATATAAGAATAAAAAAATAGGGAAAAAATGAGCCAAACAGCAACAAAAAAAAAGTTGAAAATTACGCAAGTTACGCAATTTTAAAGAAGAAAATAGAAAAATAGGAATATTTGTAATACAATAAGAATTTTTTACTTAATTTAAACAATTTTTCGATAGTTTTCATCTTGGTGCCAGAAATTATATTTTCGACGCTTACAGGCCTCGAACCAGTAAAATTATTTAAAAATCCGGACTTTGCGGACCAAAAATAAAAAATTATGGACTGTTCACAGACCAATTACTGACAAAAATATAACCAGTCCGAGTAAAATAAGAGAATATTTTACTTCAAACTATAAATTAAATTTTAACTATAAAACATGAATTCAAGAATTTTTAACTAAAATTCTTCTCTAAGTCAATTATTTTTAATAATTTTCAAAAAAGTTCTTTGACAATTTTCAAATACATTTGTTTACAATATTCAATTTTCCTTCAATTTCAATTATTCGTAAATTCTTCAATTAAATAAATATTAGAAAATAAAAACTTAAAATAATATTCAAAAAAATCAATTAAACTTTTTCAAAAAAATCCAATTATTTACAAACTTTATGCTATATTGCTTTCAATATTCAATTATCTAAAATTAAAACTAAAATTCTTATTTAAATAAATTTTTATTAGAAAACTCTACGAGAATTGAATTATTTAAATACAAAAATAAATAATTTATTCAATAATTAAATGTTTGTTAAAATTTAATTCTCGTAAAGAATTTTATCAACAAAATTTTTAAATAATTAAATTCTTTCGACAAACTTTTATAAAATTTTTAAGAATTTCATTTTTCGAATAATTTAATTAAAATTGTATAAAAAATAATTGTAATTCTTGCAACGAATTTTATTAAATTTTTATAAATAATTCAATTTTTATGAAGAATTAAGAGAATTTAAAAGAATAATTCAATTATTTCGAAGAATCCAATTAAAATTGTAATAAAGGTAATTGAATTTTTTTTGTAAAATTTTATTAAAATAGTAGATATTAAAAATCATTGAATGGACGAAAATTTTTGAAAATAATTGAAATTTTTACAAGAATTTTGCCAGCATTTTAGAAAATAATTAATTTTTATTAGAAAATACTTTGAGAAATCAATTATTGAAATACAAAAATAAATAATTAATTGAATAATTGAATGTTTCTTAAAATTCAATTCCCGTAAAGAATTTTTATCAACAAATTTTTAAATAATCGAATTCTTTGGACGAATTTAAAATTAAATTTTTAAAAATAATTACACTTTTTTAAAAAATTCGATTAAAATTAAACATTAATTGAAATTCTTCTATAAATGCATTATTTTTAATAATTACGGAAAAAAATTGAATTTCTGTAAAAATTTTATTATTTATGAAAATAATTGAATTTCTGCAATAATTTGTAACTTTTCGAAAATTAAAAAATTTTTTTTTTTTCGTGTTTTTAACTAAAATTCTTCTATAAATGCATTATTTTTTTATCATTTTTGAAACAGAGTTCTTTAAGAATTTTCAAATTCATTTCAAATTCAATTTTGCGAAATTTCAATTATTCGTAAATTCTTCAATTAAATATATACATATAAGAAAATAAAAGCTTCAAATAATTTTTTAAAAATCAACAATTAAACTTTCTTAAAAAAATTAATTCCACAGAATTGTTGGTAAAAAATATGAAAAATTCAGATTTTCAAAGATTTTAATTTGAAACCATTTCAAAATTCAATTATTTCTAAAAATTCACGCTATTATGCTTTTAATATTCAATTATTATCTCAAATTCTAAATAAAATTCAATTTTAAATCAAATTTTCTTAGAAAATTTTACGAGAATTATTAAATTTAAAAAAAAACAAAATTAATAAATAATTTATTGAATAATTGAATGTTTCTTAAAAATTGTATTAAAAATAATTGAAATTTTGCAATGTGTTTTATTATTTATGAAAATAATTAAATTCCTAAAAAAGATTTTATTATTTACGAAAATAATTGAATGCCTGTAAAAATTTTATTATTTTATGAAAATAATTAAAGGTTTGCGTATAGAATTTTATTAATTTTTTTTTTTTTAATATTCGAATGCTTTTAAAAAATTTTATTAAAATAGTGGATATTGAAAATCATTATCATTTCTCCAAAGAATTTTACAAAAGTTTTTTAAATAATTGAATAATTTTATGAAAATTTAAAAGAATAATTTCAATTATTAAAATTTTATTAAAAATAATGTTATTCTTTAGAAAAATTCTATTAAAATGGTAGATATTGATATTCATTAGCTGGTCGAAAATTTTTGAAAATAATTGAAAATTTGCCAAAAATTTTTGAAAATAATTGAATTTCGGAAAATAATTTTATTATTTATAAGACTAATTGATATTTTGACTAGAATTTAAAAAAAATTTTAAAAATAATTGAATTTCGGAAAAGAATATTATTGTTTATAAAAATAATTGAATTTTTGAAAATAATTTAATTTCGGAGAAAAATTTTAATTATTTATATAGATAATTTCAATTTTGACGAGAATTTTTGTAAATTTTTGAACATACTTTGAAATTCTGTAATGAATTTTATTATTTATGAAAGTAATGAAATTATTGCGAAGAAATTTATGAAAAAATTTTGTAAATAATTGAATTCCTGTGGAATTTTTATTATTTTATGAAAATAATTAAATCTTTGTAGAGGAATTTATTAAAATTTTTAAAAATAATTGAATTCTTGCAAGGATTTATATTAAAATTTTTAAAAATCATTTAATTTTTGCAACGATTTATATTAAAATTCTAAAAAATAATTGAAATCTTGCAATGATTTTTATTGAAATTTTTTAAAAATAATTGAATTCTTACGAAGAACTTTATTAATTTTTTTTTAAATAACTGAATTCTAGCGAAAAATTTTATAAAAATCATTTTAAACAATTGATTTCTTTGAAAAATTTTATGAAAATTGTGTTTTAAAATAATTAAATTCCTGTGAAATTATTATTATTATTTATGAAAATAATTGAATTCTTGCGAAGAATTTTATTATTTACGAAAATAATTAAATCCATGAAAAAATTATATATTATTTATGAAAATGCTTACATTACTGCGAAGAAATTTATAAAAAATTTGTAAATTATTGTAAATAATTGAAATTTTTCTAAGAATTTTTAAAAAAAATTTTGAAAATACATAATTGAATTTGGGAGAAGAATTTTATTATTTATACCTAAAGATAATTGAAATTTTAATAAGAATATTCTTAAATTTTTTAACATAATTGAACTTTTGTAAGAAAACTTTGATTACTTTTGAAAATAATTGAATTTCTTGCAATCATTTGTAACTTTTCCAAAATCTATCGTGTACAATTTACGAACTTTTCTTATTTCTAAATCAAATTAAAAACTTTAAGGAACTTTTTTGTAAAAAAAAACTGACTTCAATTTAGAGACTAGAAACTTGATTGTTCAAAAATTGTTATATTTTATAGTTTAAAATTTATATTTATAAAACAAACTTATATTTTATGATACCTTTAATAAAGTTATTAAAAAAATTAAGTTATTTCATTTATTAAACATTTTTTATAAACAAATAATTAATAGAATTGTTATTCAGAGAAAATTCTATATTTATTTTTCAGTTGACTAATAAAACCTTTCAGCACATTCCATTCTAAAGTAAAAATAACGAAATAAAATCTTAAAATTATTTAAACAATTTCAATAAACAAATACCTCATATACTGTTAATTTTTACAAAAAAATAATCCCTTTCTACAGAAAATCATTTAAATAATACTAAATATTGTATTTAGCTAAATTTTAAAATCGGCTCTTTAAAAAATCCAGTTAAAAGTACAGTTAAATAAGAAATTCATTGAATAAAAATCACAATGCAGAAAAATTATACATTATTCATTAAACAAAATTTTATGCATATAAACTTTTGAAAAATTGCATATGGATAATATAATTTTTTTTTAATAGTAAATTTAAATAATGACTTTCAAAAAATTATGTAAAACTTTTGAAATAATTTTACTTTTAAAATTAATATTAAATTTCTCAGAAGAAACGAAGAAACAAAATTGTTCTTTTCAGATTTTTGTTAAAATTTTCATAATTATGAAAATACTTTTTTTATATTATATATTTTTTTTTAAAATTGTTTATAGAGTTTGAAAATTGATTCAAAAATGTTTTCGATATTCTAAAAATATCATTTAACAATAAAAGACCTAGTTTGATTTTGCTATTAAAAAAATAGAAGCTAAAAACTGTTCTTTCTCTTTTATTTTTTAGAATAAAATTATGTTGAAGTTATAAAAAAAGTGTAAGAAAGTTACAATGAACTTTTATTAATTCACAAATTTTTAATTATTTAAAAATTATTACTCGAAACTTAAATAAATATCTTTAATTACATTTACGAAAATTTAACTATAATCTATAGGTATTAAAAAAATAATAAAATGTTTTCAAAAGATTTTGAAGAATTTTATTAAAATATTTTAAATAATTGATTTTTTTCGAAAACTATTCTTGAAAATTGGTTTTCATGTCATTGAATTTCTGTGAAAATTTTATTATTTATACATTCATTGAATTCTTTTGAGAACTTTTATTAGAAAAGTAGATATTGAAAATATTTGAATTTTAGCGAAGAATTTAATTATTCGCGAAAATAATTGTACCTACTCTTATGATTAATTTTCCAAAAATTTATAAAAATAATTGAATTCTTACAACGAATTTTATTATTAATTTTTGTAAATAACTAAAATTT